TCTGTCACCCAGGCTGGAGTACAGTGGCATGATCTTGGCTCACTACAACCTCTGCCTCCTGGGTTCAAGCGATTCTCCTGCCTCTGCCTCCTGAGTAGCTGGGATTAGCCACCATGCCTGGCTAATTTTTGTATTTTTAGTAGAGACGGGATTTCACCATGTTGGCCAAGCTGGTCTTGAACTCCTGAACTCGGGTGATCCACTTGCCTTAGCCTTCCAAAGTGCTGGGATTGCAGGCATGGGCCACCACTCCCAGCCTTCTACTGACTTTGAGGTTGGATTTACTCTTACTTTTCTAGTTCTTTAAGGTGCATCATTATATTGTTTATTTGAAGTTTTCCTGCTTTTTTTGATGTAGGCACTTATTGCTATAAACATTTCTCTTAGTTCTGCTTTCACTGTATCCCATAGGTTTTGGTATGTGGTGTTTCCATTTTAATTTGTTTCAAGAAATTTTTTAATTTTCTTAATTTTTTCATTGACCCAGGCCATTCAGGAGCATGTTGTTTAATTTCCACGTGTTTGTATGATTTCCAGATTTCCTCTTGTTATTGCTTTCTAGTTTTATTCCATTGTGTTAACAGAAGATACTTAATATGATTTCGATGTTTTTGAAATTTTTAAGACTTGTTTTGTGACTGAACATATAGTCTACCCTTTAGAAGATCCATGTGCTGAGGAAAAGAATGTGTATTCTGCAGATGTTAGATGAAATGTTCCGTAAATATCTAGGTCCATTTGGTCTATAGTGCAGATTAAGTCCAAATGGCTCTGTTGATTTTCTGTCTTGATCTGTCGGATGCTGAAAGTGAGGTGTTGAAATCAATAGCAGTTATTGTACTGGAGTCTATCTCTAACTGTAGTAATATTTGCTTTATATAACTAGGTGCTCCAGTGTTAGGTGCATGTATATTTATAATTGTTATATCCTCTTGCTGAATGAACCCCTTTATCATTATATAATGAACTTTTTATCTCTTTTTATAGTTTTTGTCTTGAAATCTATTTTGTCTGATATATATATAGCTCCTCCTCCTCTTTTTGGTTTTCCATTGCATGGAGTATCTTTTCGCATTTCTTTATTTTCAGTATGTGTGTCTCTTTATAGGTGAAATGTATTTCCTGTAGGCCACAGATTGATCCTTGGGTCTTGTTTTTTAAAATCCATTTAGCACCTCAAGTGCAATTCCTCAGAGCCCAGCACAGCATCAAGATTTGCCCAGGAATTGCAGTCCTTATGACCTGGACTGTCTTTCAAGTTTATTTAGAACCCCAGAGCACTTTATCCCACAGTGGTGGGGCTAGCCAGAACTCAGGTTCCACCCACTGGCATGGATGATTCCCCTCCAGCTAGGGCTGGTCTAAATGCACCCTCCGTGAGCACCACCTAAATTCTACCCCATGTTGTTTTCCACTGTGACAGGCAGCACTGCGTTCCATTGCAAAGTCCCACAATGACTTTCCTCTCCCTCCCCGAAGCACACATAGCCTCTCTCTGTGCCACATAGCTGCTGCTGGGGCATGGAGGAGGGATGGTTCTGACAATCCAAGACTGTCTTTCCTACCCTCTTCACTGCCTCTTTCTGTGCTATAATGTTAAAACCGGGTACTGTGATTGCACACTTGATTTTTGGTTCTTATGAAGGTGCTTTCTTGTGCGAATAGGTGTTCAATTTGGGTGTTCCTGTTGGAGGGAATGATTGCTAGAGGGTTCTCATCAGCCCTCTTGCTCTGCCTCCAGGAATTTTTTTAACAAGAGCTATTTGTACGGAATTATCTCAGCTATGACTCCCCGTTTTTCTTCTGGTATAGGGAAGGCATGTTTCACATGGGAGTTTTTATCTCCTGTTTTCAAGGAGGGAAAGGGAAGATGAGAATATGCTTCTTGCATCTGCCATTTTTCAAGTGTCTTTAGCTTAAAGTAATCCTCATACCAAAGTGGCATATTTTGGGGTGGCATATTCTGCTACTCTTTATTACCACTACATGAACGTCCAGTCTGAGGTCAGTTAAGGCTACTTTTAGTTCGTTTGTGATTAATTGGTTGTTAGAGGGAAAAGATCTGCTGAGTGAAGTTTTAAGCAAAATCTTGAAATTCTTTAACTAAAAATGGGTTTTTATGCTAGCAGAGAGAGTCACACACTCTATCAACCTCAGGAACCTAGTCTTACATATCTACTTTGTGCATAGTCAGACTTGGAAAAAAAGTACCAACACTCACTGTAAATTTGCAGGGCTGATCAGTTTCCTAAAGGATTTTCTCAAGCGTTGGAGTTACACAAAGAAAAGCTTATTGTTAAACTATCCAAATCTTGGCCCCTGCAGATGAAGATGTAACAATTATTTCATTTAGAAACCACCCCACCATAATATTGGATTGTAATAAGTTAATTTGATCACATTTAGGTAGCAATCCCTAGGGAAAAAATGGCCACTAAAGATCCAAGCTTCCCCATTCTCATTTACTGTGGCTGAATTATTGACAAAGCTATTGCAAATCTGGGCTTTACAATCTCCTTTTATTAAATCCACAAATGAACGTGAAATATGGGTGGATATATAGCTTTCAGAGGGCTGTGAAGTTGATGGGATATATGATTAAGGTGAGATAACATACACATGCAATCAGATATTCTAAGCAGGTCTTGTTGGAGAAAGATGAATGTTAGGATAAATAAGTTCTTTCATGTGTTTGGAAGCTCAGGCACCCTCCTATTAATTCTAATTGTGGTGGCTAATCCACATAAATTTCCCCCAGGTGTCTTTGTTGTAACGCTGCAAAATAAAATCAAGTGTAAAATCTCATGCCCAGAAGAATAATTTTAATAAATGCCAGGTTTTCAGTAAACAAGTGATGTTAAAAATCTAGGTGAGATTGTGTCCAATGCTCCTACTCCCGCTTCCTACCATGTGCTGAGAAGAGCCCTTTTAGTTATATAATTTCTTTATCTGTAAAACAGGGCTAATAATGATGCCTCCTACATAGGATTATTGTGAAGATTAAATAGGTTATTTTAAGTAAAGCCTGGAGTATGTAATCAGTGTTCTAGGTGTTCCCTGTTTTTATTTGTTCTATCACCTCAGTCTAGATACTGTGGAGAATTTTCAGAAATATGCAAGTAGGAAACTGGAGATTTTGTCTTATAGGACTGAACAGTATTAGATAAATTTAATCTGCCTGATAACTAAATGACAAAAACATTAGAGACAGCTAGTTTTAAACATAATCAATATTACATCTTTCCTTTTCTTTAAATAATACTGCCTTGGAGCTGGTTTTGAGACCAGGCATAAAGCAACAAGCACCTGAACCACGCTGTGTTTTGAGGAACAGCAGTATTATGTATGGGGCTAGAAATGCATCCTCTTCATCTAGGCTTCTGCGAGGGATGAGAGGCCCAGATACTCCAGCAGGACTGCCTTCATCCTAAAAAGAAGTTCAAAGACACTACAGCCAGCCTTGCCACAACCATGTCATGTTCTTCTCTGCCTTCCCCCATAGACTGTGTCTGTGTGTGTGTGTGTGTGTGTGCATGTACTAAAGACTTACTATTCTGAAATACAACATTCACGTCTTGCATTTATAAGCTCTATAAGCCTAGTAGTGTGTGTCTGCTAATTTTGTTTTCATTAAAGAAATTAGCTCCTTTGCATTTTCATATACATTTTAGAATCAGCTTGTCAACTTCTACCAAAAAAAAAAATTGCTAAAATTTTGATCGAGATTGCATAAAAACTATAGATCCCATTGGGGGAATATTTATATCTTAACATTATTGAGCATTCTAATCCAGGGACATGATTTATCTCTCTATTTATCAAAGACTTTCATTTCTTTCTGAGTTGGGCTTTAGTTAATTTCAACTGCAGTTTCAAATGTCTTGCTTAGACAAGAGTTAAGATCCTTCCAGCCAGGCTTAGGTATAGGCCAGGAAACCACAGGACCTCTCTCTGTTTTCTAGTCCCGCCTACAGTTTTTTCCCTATGGCCACTTACCCAAAGTCTAATGGGGAGAACTAATTAGTGGGGAACACTGACTTTGCATTTGGGGCTACTCCAGATTCCAATCCACTATGCCAACCCACACATGGCTGTTAAAAGTTTGGCTGGTTTCTCCTTGTCCCAGAAGTTCATTTGCCTGTGCCTATTAAAGGCTCTTTCTCTGCCTGACAGTCCTCAAACTTGCAAATGATATGAGGCATGAGTGGGTCTGCTCGCTGGTCTCTAGTTATTTAGGAAAGGCTGGTGCATATCTAGAAGATGCTTTTTTTGTTTGTTTTTGTTTTGTTTTTTAGCTTTCTTCGTATCTTTGACTCTCTGGTGGCTTTAGGGAAAAATACTATATTTTAAAATATGAGGTTTTTTCCCTAGCATTTTCTCAGAGTTATGGTAAAGGCAAGGATCTTTTGCAGCCTTCTACATCCTACTGGAAACATTCAGAATAGGCATTTTTTTAAACTGAAATTAGGCTGGGTGCGGTGGCTCCCACCTATAATCCGAGCACTTTGGGAGGCCGAGGCAGGTGGATCTGAGGTCAGAAGTTTTAAACCAGCCTGGCTTACATGGTGAAACCCCATCTCTACTAAAAATACAAAACAAAAATTAGCTGGATGTGGTGATGGGTGCCTGCAATTCCAGCTACTCAGGAGGCTGAAGCAAGAGAATCCCTTGAACTCGGGAGCCAGAGGTTGTAGTAAGCAGAGATTGAACCATTGCACTCCAGCCTGGGCAACAATTGCAAAACTCTATCTCAAAAATAAATAAAATAAATAAATCTGAAATTAATCTCTTTTTTTCATGTGAGTCTATGCGTTAGGGGAAGGAGTTTACACTTTAATTCTTCTCTTAACATGAAATGCAAAAACCTAAATTTTATGTTCTGTCATAATTTCAAGCACTAAGTTTAAATAACTAGGTTTTAATTTTATTTTTCTTAAGGATAGCAAGTCTGGTGGCAGGTAAATTCTGATTTTTTTTTCATCCTTTTCACAATATGTCAGATTTTGAACATTTGAACGTTTCTTCACAATCATGTCAAAAGACGTAAAATCAGTAGAATGTTCACCTAAAATTCCTCAGAGAAATGATCCACAGCATGTCAATGATAGAAGATTTTTCATTGATGCCTCTAATCAGAGCTTGACTGCCATTCCGTTGGAGATCTTCACATTCACAGAAGTAGAAGAAGTGCATTTGGAGAATAATCAGATTGAAGAAATTCCCCAGGAGATTCAGTGTTTAAAGAAAATAAGGGTCCTTTACCTGGACAAGAACAACTTGAGGAGCCTGTGCCCGGCTCTGGGGCTGCTGAGCAGCCTGGAGAGCCTGGACCTGAGCTACAACCCCATCTTCTCCTCCTCCCTTCTCGTCGTCAGCTTCCTCCGCGCCCTGCGTGAGCTCCGGCTCTACCAGACCGACCTGAAGGAGATTCCCGTCACCATTTGTAAAAACCTCCACCACCTGGAGCTGCTCGGACTGACGGGGAACCACCTGAAATGTCTGCCCAAGGAAATAGTGAATCAGACCAAGCTGAGGGAGATCTACCTGAAGCGAAACCAACTTGAAGTTTTCCCCCAGGAGCTCTGCGTTCTCTACAACCTGGAGATCATTGACCTGGACGAGAACAAAATCGGTGCCATCCCAGAAGAAATCGGGCACCTGACGCAGCTGCAGAAGTTCTTCTTGGCTTCTAACAACCTCCCCGTTCTGCCGGTGTCCCTGTGCCAATGTAGCCAATTGTCAGTGCTCGATTTATCCCATAACCTTCTCCACTCCATCCCGAACAGCCTCGCCGAGCTCAGGGAAATGACGGAAATCGGGCTGAGTGGGAACCGCCTGGAGAAGGTGCCGCACCTCATCTGCAGATGGACCTCGCTGCACCTGCTCTACCTGAGAAACACCGGCCTGCGCAGGCTGCGGGGCTCCTTCAGGCGCCTGGTCAACCTGCGCTGCCTGGACCTCAGCCAGAACCATCTGGACCACTGCCCACCACAGATCTGTGTGCTGAAGAACCTGGAAGTCCTGGCACTGGATGACAATAAAATAGGGCAGGTACAGATTCCCTTTCTGGCTGTCACTATGCTGGATCACTTGAGGTCAGGAATTTGAGAACAGCCTGACCAACATGGTGAATCCCCGTCCCCACTAAAAATACAAAACTTAGCTGGGCATGGTGGCGCGTGCCTGTAGTCTCAGCTACTCGGGAGGCTGAGGCAGAAGAATGGCATGAACCGGGGAGGCAGAGATTGCAGTGAGCCAAGATCGTGCCACTCACTGCACTCCAGCCTGGGCAACAGAGTGACACTCCGTGAGACTCCGTCTAAAAAAAAAAAAGAATAGAAAAGAAAATTAAAAAAAAAAAAATGAGATTTTTCCCATGTGGTTCCTATGGGCCAGAAAGAAACCATAGATGGACATAACGGTGAGGCCGATTTTGGCTGCACTAAAGAAGGAAATCTGATGGTTAGAAGCCATAGAATGTAATGAGCTTTGGTGTTTAGATAACAACTGGATGGTTTGCTATGGAATGTATGCAACCACTGTATTAGAGGGTTGGAAGAGAGAACCTTCCTTAGGCCTTGCAGTCCTGAAAGTCTGGCACTCTGTGAATGCCGACCCAGTTCCCACATAGGGTTTACAAGCCTGGGTATTCACTGGAAAGCAGAACACGACAGGATAGGGTCATAACAGTGTTCACTGAACACCGATTAGAAGTGGTGTGATTATGTGTTTACTTCCAAGTGAGATTTCAACTGAAGTTTCAAAATTATTAAAGCCTTTTAGAATGAAGAGTCACATCACTAAATTAGTCCTAATCACTGAATTTATTATGAATGCAAGATTACACATTATTTTAGTATTTTTTTTAATAGTGTCAAGCAGTTGCCACACTACAGTTCATAAATGGCCAGAACGTTGGCTAAAAATTGCTCTAATTTATTTATTTTACTTTTATTTATTTATTTATTTTTGAGATGAAGTTTTACTCTTGTTGCCCAGGTTGGAGTACAATGGTGCGATCTTGGCTCACGGCAACCTCTGCCTCCCGGGTTCAAGCAATTCACCTTCCTCAGCCTCCCGAGTAGCTGAGATCACAGGCATGCACCACTGTGCCCAGCTAATTTTTTTGTATTTTTAGATAGACAGTGTCTCTCCATGTTGGTCAGCCTGGTCTCGAACTCTCGAACTCCGGTGATCTGCCTGCCTCAGCCTCCCAAAGTCCAAAGTGCTGGGATTATAGGCATGAGCCACCACACCCGCCTTTTTTTTTTTTTTTTTTTTTTTTTTGGTTCAGATAGATTCTGGCTTTGTCACCCAGGCTGGAGGGCAGTGGCGCAATCTCGACTCACTGCAACCTCTGCCTCCCGCATTCCAGAGATTGTCCTGCCTCTCCTCCCTCAGCTGGGATTACAGGCACCTCCTATCACACCCAGCTAATTATTGTATTTTTTACTAGAAACGGGGTTTCACCATGTTGACCATGCTGGTCTTGAACTCCTGACCTCAGGTGATCTATCTGATTGGTCTCCCAAAGTGTTGGGATTAAAGGCATGAGCACTGTACCCGGCAAGGAAAAAATTGCTCTAGTTTAAAGTAGTGCATAAAAGTGAAGAGCAGACACTAGATCTACAAGTATAAGTACTATAATGCAGATATATACACAATTTTCCATCATAGGAGAGGCTAACTTACTCCACTTGTTTAGCAGTCTGCCTCAAAACCAAAAGCCCAGTTTATTTCCTGACAGTTAAAAATAATCTCGACCTGAAACTTATCTTTCTGGAATACTTCCAGTTACCTTCAGAATTGAACTCACTTTCAAAACTGAAGATACTTGGACTAACAGGAAATGAGTTCCTTTCCTTTCCAGAGGAAGTCCTTTCTTTAGAGTCTTTAGAGAAATTATACATTGGGCAAGACCAGGGATCCAAACTTACCTATGTGCCGGAACACATTGGGAAACTGCAGGTAAGCCTCCCCCGATGAGCTCGCTAAGAAGCCACTGCCACTGTCCCTTAAATTGACTGAAACTGAGAAAATATGAGGTCCCACAGGCTGGAGGTAGAATCATCCATACTAGATTTCCAGCTTCAAACAAGTGATGTTTTTACGTTTTGAGGTTTCCACTGTCCGTGAACAAAACTTCAACATTTTATTGTAATACTTCTTTCCACTGTGTGACTTGCTGTGTTTCATTTATAGAAATTGGGTCATACCTCTTTCCATTTAATTTCCACTTTTTGTAAGTAGCCCCCTGAAAACTGGATTATTTTGAAGTTAAAGAAATATCATACAAATGACATGGCTGGGAGCCTGCATTCTGGTGCTCAGGATTCCCTGTAAGGGGAAGTGTGACCTCTCTCCCTGCTGGAAAAAAGGAAATCATGTTGCACCAGCTTCCTAGATCTACAGGGCTGTGAATACTGCAAAGCAACAGGATAACCTCATGCAAAGTAGCCATACTAGGGTGTCTTCATATATTCATCCTTTAAAGAGCTGTTTTTTTTTTCATGTTCCTGTTGCTGCACTCTTTTTTTTTTTTTTTGAAATGGAGTTTCGTTCTTGTTGCCCAGGAGTGCAATAGCACAATCTCGGCTCACTGCAACCTCCACCTCCTGGGTTCAAGTGATTCTCTTGCCTCAGCCCTTCCAAGTATCAGGGATTATAGGTGCCCACCACCCAACTCAGTTAATTTTATATTTTAAGTAGAGACAGGTTTTCACCATATTGGTCAGGTTGGTCTCGAACTCCTGATCTCAGGTGATCCACCCACCTTGGCCTCCCAAAGTGCTGGGATTACAGGCATCAGCCACTGCTCTCAGCCTGCCGCACTCTTAATGATGATAAAGTAGGCGTGGGCCACCACATAACCCCCAGTCATGCAATGGCATGTACAGCATAGGTAGTTCTCACCATGACACATGGTCTCTATTCCTATTTCTCCAGTCCTTTGCCCTGTGTTCATAGAATACCTTTCATCATCTTGTCCTTTGTAAATGTCATGTCACAATCTTAGGGTGAAGTGCAAACATTAGATTTTTGCCCAGTGAAGTTGAAAATAGTTATTTCAAATACACTCAAACCCATTCCCTATGCATTTTGGCTACTTTCACTGACGCAATGTTGGGTTGATATTTGAGGCAGTTATTCTGTAGCAACTGCCACAGACAATTAGCTATTAAAAAGGAGTTAATGATAAATGGAGTTAAATTATTCAAATTATTTTTTTCATAAAGTCCTAATGAAATAAACAAGCACTAGATGTCTGTAGTCTCTTCTCCCTGCATAAATGGAAACCAAGTTTAATGGATTTACTAAAAAATAACTTTATGTCTTGATGATGGTCCTTTAAATATGTTTTTTTTCTTTATCCCAGTGTGTAAGTTACCCATTGAAAGAAAAAAAAAAAAATGCATGGGCACCCACAGGTGTTCTGGCTATTATAATTAACTTATCAAGGCATATTATTATGGTATACTCATGTTTTTTCAGAGTCTCAAGGAGCTATATATAGAGAACAATCGTCTGGAGTACCTGCCCATGTCCCTGGGGTCAATTCCTAACCTAGAAGTTCTTGATTGCCGGCACAATTCGCTTAAACAACTTCCAGATGCCATTTGCCAAGCACAAGGTGAGGGAACTTAGTAGATCCATAGCCTGGTAGAGTTTGTGGCCAGCATTTCCCACAGCGAATGGCTTCCTTGCTTTTCTAAAGACCAATCTCAGTGTTTAGAGAATTGGGTCTATCCCTGAAGGCACATCATTTTGAAGTCTCAGGATATAAGGATAGAAAGGATTCTTAAAAAAGAGTCTATCCCACCACTTCTTTGCAGGGCTCACTTAGTGGCATGGGGGAGGCCAGGTGTCCTGATTAATATAGCTAAATCTTGCAAAGGCAGTTAAGTTGTTTATTGGAATGGAAAAGTCAATAGCAAGTGCTAAGAAAATTTGCATTCACCCATATGTCCATTACACTACCAACAATAATTTACTGCACACTTACTATATGCCAGAATTTGGAGCTGGAGTCCTGCAGTAAATTTCATCTAGGACACTGAGCTACTTGAATAAAGGAAAAAGTATTGGCCCAGAGTGGTGAAATCAGCAGGGAACTTTTGGAGCTACATGATTGACCTGGAAAATTATATATGATTCCCATTTACACTCCCAAACATTTTCCAGTAGACCAAGCTATTTTTTGTCTGTACATTCATCCATCTGCTTAATGCTTTCGCTGAGCACCCACTGGGACCAGATTTTAAATGTTTTTTTCTGAATTTCCTAGGCTTACGCACTTTCTCAAACTATGGCTATTCTTTAATGAGAAAAGGATGAAGGAATGCCTTGGCTACTCACAAGACATTCAAAAATTGGGGGCTGGGCTGGGCATGGTGGCTCACACCTGCAATCTCAGCACTTTGGGAGGTCAGGAGTTCAAGACCAGCCTGACCAACATGGCAAAACCCCATCTTTACTAAATATAAAAAAATTAGCTGAGTGTGATGACACTGTGCCTGTAATCCCAGGTACTTGGGAAGCTGAGGTAGGAGAATTTCTTGAATCTGGGAGGTAGAGGTTGCAGTGAGACGAGATCGCGCCACTGCACTCCAGCATGGGCAGCAGAGTGAGACTCCGTCTCAAAAAACAAAACAAAACAAAACGGGGGGCAAGGGGTTATATGCAGTACTCTTTAGTAATGCTCCTCACCATAAATTGTTACCCTGGAGGAGTGAAATATTCTCACATATTTTCAGTGTTTACTATTTTTCTGTCTCTAATATTTATTGACTGGCTTCAACAACTTTAAATTGTTAAAAAGAAGTTGCAAAAAAAATAACTTGGTCTGCCTTATTTAATTGGAAGCCTTTTATTAGATGGCACAGCAAAAGACAAAGAGGACTAAAGAAGGCACTTTGATATGATCTTTTCTGAAATGTACATAATTATATGTTCTTTAAACATTCAGTCTCATGACCACATTTTTTATATTTATCTTCTCTTTCGGTGAACCACATATAGAGAAGTGACCGAGTTTATATTTATAAGTCATTTATCACTGAGTAGTATTTAAACATAATTTTTCTCTTCTCCCTCCTTACTACTGGGTACTACCAAACTTTTCATCCCTGTCTGTTTGATTGGTAAAATGCTGCATTTTGGCGTTTAATGTACATTTCTCCTATGGAGTGATTTTAAGCATTTTTCATGCTTATTAAGCATTTTTATTTCTCTTTCAGTGAACTATTTAAAGATAGTCCGTTATGCTAAAAAACCAGTTTCAGAGCATTCTATATAATATGATAATATTTTGCTTTATGATGTTTTATATGCATATGCCTATAGGCCTAGAGATTTTCTGTAATGACTCACAGGAATCCAATAACAGGGGTTCCTTGTGACAATTGAACTGTGAGAAGGTTGGTGGGAAAGGGATGGAGCGGGAGAATTATTTTCATCTTTTGCCACTTTTGCAGACAAACGTTGCTATTTAAATTAAGTTATATATATTATTTTATATCAAAGAGTAATTTTTTTCAAAAACTTACTTTGCTTGTCAACTTGAGAGTAGCAAGGGAATGACTATGTGAACCGGGTGCCTCACATTCCACAGTCTTTAGGGATCAGGCAGGTAACACTAATGTGCCAAAGCTTGTAGCAATCACAGGGAGTAGTGAGGCCTATGGGAAACGGCATGAAGAGTCCATTTTTCCAACACTTGGTCAGATGCGGTGGCTCACACCTGTAATCCTGGCACTTTGGGAGGCCCAGGTGGGTGGATCACTTGAGGCCAGGAGTTCAAGACCAGCCTGGACAACATGGTAAAACCTATTTCTACTAAAAATACAAAAATTAGGTTGTAGTGAGCCCAGATCATGCCATTGTACTCCAGCCTGAGTGTCAAAGTGAGACTCTGTCTCAAACAACAACAAAAACCCCTCAATACTCTGCTGACCTTAGGAACCGCAGGGTCTGAGTGATTTTTGCCAATGGGCTGTCAGTTTCAGCTAAAAACTTTGCTCTAAACAAACAAACAAAACACTTGGAATATCTGGAGACTGAATTCTGTTCTCTTCATTAAGAGAAGGAGCAAACATAGAGATAGAACTTTTATTAGATGGTATAAAAATTTTGTGTATCCTCCCTCTCGTTCCTTTTGCAAATGCAGAATTGGATCCCTCACATATGTGGGCAGGATTAGGTGACAAGTTAATATTGTTTGTTCTTAAGATTGATCCACCATTTAAAAAAATCTTTTCAGCTTTGAAAGAATTACTGCTGGAGGACAACTTGCTCACCCATCTTCCAGAGAATTTGGATTCCCTAGTGAATATTAAGGTCCTGACACTGATGGACAATCCCATGAAAGAACCCCCAAAAGAAGTGTGTGCTGAAGGCAATGAGGCCATATGGAAATACCTCAAGGAAAAAAGAAAAAGGAATATCATGGCAACAAAGGTAACATCAGCCCAGATTCTTGATAACAGTTTTTTTAGAGGGAGCCTAATGTTAAACACATTGCAGATTATCCTATGGAGCAAGTCTTTGCACATCTACACCCTTGTCCTGCTTCTGAAAAGAGAAGTTACTTAGCTACTTTATGTCCCCAGAGCTAAGTAAGAAAGTTTTTAAATGTCAGCCCTAGTATTTTTGTCTTTACGTTCCTTATTTCTTTGTTCAATAAGAAGCCAACAAAGGCAAAGGAAACCAAAACTTCAAAATTTCAAATCAATCTCAAATTCTTAGGACTATTTCATTGGAATGAAAAAAGCCTGTATTAACAAAACAAGTACAATAAGGTTGACAAATTAGAAGTGAAAGTATGTATAGACAAGAGGCTGAGCCCAGGGTTCTGAGCTGCCCCAACTAGGATCGAAGGGCTGAGATCCTTGAAATTCTGCTCTCGCCCATTGAGCCCATGGAGATATAGGACACCCCAGACGGGTCTGGAATGTGTCCACTTCAACCAGTGTTCTTTATTCTCCAACTGGTCCAAGTTCCCATCACTTCACACCCGGATGACTACATAAGCCCCCTGATTAGTGTCCCTGCTTCCATGCTGGCTCCTCTCCAACATACCTTCTCCTCAGTAATTGATTGATGCTGTTAAAACATGGGCTAGAGCTCACCACTCCACTGAAATTGGCAATCTTTCATTTCACCCAGAGTGAGAGTCAAGTCTTTGGTCTGTAAAACCCTCTCTCAATAGCCCTCAACCCTATCAGACCTAATGTTCTCCCTTTTATGATCAATCGTTTGTGATACCTCTTTTATTCCAAAGCAAATTCAGAGATAATAAAAATCTACAAAAGCACATAATTTTAATCGAAATAATGCCTGAGTTGTAATTTATATAAAAATAGATATTTCAGGCCAGGCGTGGTGGCTCACGTCCATCTGTAATCCAGTACTTTGGGAGGCCAAGGTGGGTGGATCACTTGAGGTCAGGAGTTCGAGATCAGCCTGACCAACATGGTGAAACCCCCAGCTGGGCAAGGTAGTGCATGCCTATAATCCCAGCTACTCTGGAGTAGTGATTCCTGAAGCAGGAGAATCACTTAAACCCAGGAGGCGGAGCTTACAGTGAGCCATGATCATGCCACTGCACTCCAGCCTGAGCGACAGAATAAGACTCTGTCTCAAAAAAAAAAATTATTTCAATGCGTATATGCTCAGGATGGATTAAACTTGAAAGAATAAAAGTTGTGGTTTTTAATCGAATATTTCCTAAAAGCTTTTTTTTTTTTTTTTTTTTTTTTGAGACAGAGTCTTGCTCTGTCACTAGGCTGGAGTGCAGTGGCACGATCTCCCAGCCTCCCAAGTAGTGGGACTACAGGTGCTCACCACCATGCCCAGCTAATTTTTGTATTTTTGGTAGAGACGGGGTTTGTTTTCACCATATTGGCTCACTCTCTTGACCTCGTGATCCACCTGCCTCAGCCTCCCAAAGTGCTGGGTTTACAGGCGTGAACCACTGTGCCTAGCCCACTAAAAGCATTTTGAAAAATCCCGCACCCTTTTGTACATTCTTAAAATGATATTTAACATTATTGGCACAAGTCTGAATCATTGCAAAGGATGTAATTTCCAGTGAATTTTAAATGTTGACATTTTAAAATAGAGCTGTTAGATCAATATTTTAAGTGTATCCAGTGGAGCTGAATATCATTAGGAATTGTCAACACCAATTTACAAATACTCAACTAAGTAATTTTATAGGCAGAATTTTTATATCAGATTTCTTTTCTTCTTGAACATGCATGTCCATTCTACTTTCCCCTCAGAATTGATGCTAAAGTTATATAGATATACATATAAATCTTTTATAGATTGTTCTTTTGTACTTTTAGGCAATAAAAATATTTATATAAATTAAATTTTAAACTTTAAAAATGTATATACAACTATTAGTAGTTTAACATCACCTAAAACAACATAAAACTTCTTTTTTTTTTTTTTTTGAGACGGAGTTTCGCTCTTGTTACCCAGGCTGGAGTGCAATGGCGCGATCTCGGCTCACCTCAACCTCCACTTCCTGGGTTCAAGCAATTCTCCCGCCTCAGCCTCCCGAGTAGCTGGGATTACAGGCACACACCACCATGCCCAGCTAATTTTTTGATTTTTAATAGAGACTGGGTTTCACCATGTTGACCAGGATGGTCTCGATCTCTTGACCTCGTGATCCACCCACCTAGGCCTCCCAAAGTGCTGGGATTACAGGCTTGAACCACCGCACCTGGCCTAAAATTTCTTACAAATTTTAATAATTATTAGTATTTTTAGAACAGTATGAGGAGTTTTTTTAATGTAGTTTATATATTCATGTATAAATGTTGCTGATTATTAGAATAAGTCAGGGTTTATTACAGGTTCTACTGTTTTTCATTTTACAGATGAAAGCCTTAAGAAACCTTGTTCATGTAGATGGGTTAATGAGACTGGAAGAAGCTTTTTTTGCCTGTAATGTTTTCTTTTAAATAACAATGCTTTCACGCATCTCTGAACTTAATCCAGATTTATATCCCCCAAATCAATAGCAAGTCTTAGCTGACATGTCAGCTAGTCTTACCTTATTTTTCTTGAAGGTAGAATTAGAAACCACCTGTCTTGCAAAAGGATTGGTTAACCAGTCCTCAGAGTCAATCATTTTCTCATCAACGCTTGTACCTGAATTGTGTGTGTGTGTGTGTGTGTGTGTGTGTGTGTGTGTGTGTATCCTAAAGATTTTTGGTGTCCAGGGCAATGCACCATAGTAAGATTCAGGTGTTCAGGTGGGTGCAAGGCATACCCTCCCTTTGTGGAGCACCAGAGGGGCAAGTGGGATGGTGGATCCACAGTTATGTTCTTGGGATGATTTTAGGAAGGGATACATACATACAGCTCAGGAAATGAGCTGTCTTCAACTTATCCATGCCTGCACACCATTGGAAAGGCTTCGTAGACCAGGGTACAGGCCACACATTGAAGACTGCTTAACCTTAAGACCACAAAAAGCTCCATAAATTTCCAAAATGCCTCTAGAGAGCAGTGCTATTCCCTGGATCCTGGTTGGTCTGCAGTTTTCACTCCCCAACTCATCTTTCCCACTCTCACTGGGCTTCAGTCACAAGCAGATCCCTGGTGTTCTTCCAAGGACCAAGTGTGCTCTGGCTCAGGGCCTTAACACTGGTTCTTCCCTGTGCCCAGAGATGCTTCGCCCAGATATGGGCAAGATTCTGGCCCTCACTTCATTCCATCTCTGCTTGGATGGCCTCTTATCAGAGAACCCTTCCTTGATCCACTTTATATGAAACAGCATAGCCCCATCCACCTCTTTCATTTGTTCATTCATTCAACAAACATTTATTGAGCTTCTACTATGACCAGACACTGTTCTAAGCATAGAGATATTATCAGTGAACAAAACAAATATTTATGTTCTCACAGCACTTAAAATCTAGGAGGGAAATAAAAGCATGAAATATAAAATGTAAAATTAAATATTATGTTAAAGAGTGCTACTGTTAAATTAAAAAAAAATCAGCCTAAGGGGAACTGAAATTGCCTGTAGTGTGTGGAGGTAGGGAAGTAATTGATTTAAATAAGATTGTCAGAGTAGGCCTCATTGAAAAGATGACAGTCTTAGCTTAGGCTACCACAATAAAATACCATAGAACAGGTAGTTTAAACAACAGAAATGTATTTTCTCACAGTTCTGGAGGCTGGAAGCCTGAGGTCAGAGTATCAGCATGATTGGATTCTGGTGAAGGCTCTCTTCCTGGCCTGCAGAAGCTCCCTTCTCCCTGTGTCTTCATACAGCAGAGAGGGAGAGTGAGAGAGATATTTCACTAGAGAGTGATAGCTCTCTGATGTCTCTCCTTATAAGGCCACTAATCGCATAATGAGGGTACCGCCCTCATGACGTCATCTAAATCTAATTAACTCCCCATAGCCCCTTCTCCAAATTCTATCACACTGGGGATTATGGCTTCAATATGTGAATCTGGGGCAATACAGTTTAGTCCATAGCAATGACAATTGAGCAAACCCTTGAAGCAGTGGAGCCATCTGAATACTGAGAAGAGTTCCAGGCAAAGGAAGCAGCGAATGTACAGGCTCTGAGTTAGAATTGTGCCTGTGTGTCTGAGCAGGGAGGAAGCCCGCATGGCTGGAGTGGAGTGAGTCAGGGAAAGAGGAGTTAAGAGGTTAGGGGGTTCAGGTTTGGGGAGGCAGATTAGAGAGGGCCTTGTAAGCCATATAAGGACTTTGGCTTTTATTCTGAGAGAAATGGGGAGCCACTGGATGAGTCTACTCCTAGAGGAGGGGTGCTGCTGGGCAGGTAGGAGGGGATGGGATCCAGGGAACAAGTGAGGGCTGGCTTTAGGCAGGAGCACAGACAGCCCAGTAAGGAGCCGGAAGGCAGGGAAGAGCACTCAGAGCCCCGCACCATGCACGGTCGCTCTCTGCAGCACTCATCACCGTCTGTCAAATTAAACATTCATGTGTTTATTTCTTACTGTCTCTTCTCTCACTGAAATGTCAGCTCCATAAAGTTGAGGCAGTTATTTCACAGCTGTTGCCCAAAAGTCTAGAACTTTTTAGGACCTGGCACATAAAAGCAATAAATGCATTTTTTTAAAATTTGTCTGAATGCCTGGCCAGTTGAGAAAAATAGAAAATAAAATTTAGAGTCCTAATCACATCCCGTTGTCTACATCTTCAAGACCACCTATCAGAAAAAAGAGATTTAACAATCTCCTGTTCATCATGATACCAGCCGATGCTGAATTTGGGTTTATCTTGTTTTCAGATTCAGGCGTGGTGGCGTGGAACAATGGTACGGAAAGGATTTGGGAAATTCAGTGAACTAATAAAAGCACGAAAGAAAGGAAAGGCATCTCCAAAAGATAAGAAAGGAAAGAGGAATGTAAAAGAAATACCAGGAAAGAAAAATAAGAAATAATCTTAAAAATTTGTAAATTGGGGTAATGAACCTTGATGGAATAAGAAAGCAAAATATATAGCAATTAGATGCCTACTACATTAAAATTATTCATAAAATTATGTTTATGTGTAAAAATAAATGGTTTAAAAATTTTTTTTTATACAGATGGGGTTTCACTATGTTGGTCAGGCTGGTCTTGAACTCACGACCTCAGGTGATTCTCCCGCCTTGGCCTCCAAAGTTCTTGGATTACAGGCGTGAGCCACCACACCCGGCCAAATAAATGATTTTTACTTTGACAGAAATGTTTATGGATAAAATGATATGACACCTTGAAATTGCTTCCAAATAATATGGGATGGGGAGGGGAAAGTGGGTAGGAATACAAGTGAAACAAGATTGGCCATACACTGATAACTATAGAATAAGGTGATGAGTACACGAGGGTTCATTATACTATTTTCCTATGTTTATTTATTTGTTATTTCTTTTTTTTTTTTTTTTTTGAGACAGTTTCGCTGTTTTTACCCAGACTGGAGTGCAGTGGCATGATCTCGGCTCACCGCAACCTCCACCTTCTGGGTTCAAGCAATTCTCCTGCCTCAGCCTCCTGAGCAGCTGGGATTACAGGCATGCGCCACCATGCCCAGCCAATTTTTTGTATTTTTAGTAGAGACGGGGTTTCACCTTGTTGACCAGGATGGTCTTGATCTCTTGACCTCGTGATCCACCCGCCTCGGCCTCCCAAAATGCTGGGATTACAGGCGTAAGCCACCACGCCCAGCCTATTTTTTATTTCTTTTAAGACAGGATCTCACTCTTGCCCAGGCTGGAGTGCAGTGGTGCACTCTTGGGTCACTGCAACTTCCACTTCCCAGGTTCCAGCAATTCTAGTGCCTCAGCCTCCCGAGTAGCTAGAACTACAGGCGCACGCCACCACGCCTGGCTAATTTTTATATTTTTTGGTAGAGATGGGGTTTCACCATGTTGGCCAGGCTGGTCTCGGACTCCTGACCTCAACTGACCTGCCCACCATGGCCTCACAAAGTGCTGGGATTATAGGCATAAGCCACCATACCCATCCTGCCTACTTTTGAAACTTTTGTGAAATAATTATAGATTCACAGGAAGTTCTAAAGAAATGCTTAGGTAGGTCCATGCCTGGCTCAGCCTCCCTCAATGCTGACCTCTTGCATAACTGTAATAACAAAACCAGAAATCTGACATTGGTACAATCAACAGTGCACTCATTTGTGTATATGTGTGTGTTTGTATAATCCTATGCAATTTTGTCACATAGAGCTTTGTGTAACCACCATCACAATCAAGACACAGAATTGCTCCATTGTCACAAGCTTCCCTGGTGCTATTCTTCTGTAGCCATACCTACTGCCTACTCCTCTCCCAATTCCTAACCTGTTCTCCATCTCCATCATTTTGTCATTTCGGGAACGTCACATAAATGGAAATGCACAGTATGTAACTCAGATTGGCTTTTTTATTCAGCATAATCCACTTGAAGTCTATCCAAACGGTGGCATGCATCAGTGGTTTGTTCCTTTCTGTTGCTGAGGAGTACTGCATAGTCCCACAGTTTGTGTAACCTTTTACTCATCGTTTCCAGTTTTTTTGCTATTATTAACAAAGCTGTCAGGGAACATTCATGCATAGGTTTTGCATCTGCATAGATACTCATGGAGATCATGGGAACACCCAGGGAATTCATGGTATTCTTTTATATCATGCAGCCCAAAATATTCCCTTTTATAGCATTCAAAACTTCCTCATCCTGCACACTTTTTAATTTGGAGTAGTGTTGATTTTAAATTTGCGTGTCTTTCAGGCAGTGATTACAATACTAATTATTAATGTAGTAAGAAGAAAGCAAAACATAATTTGAGCAGGGCATGTCAGAATAGAAATATGTAGACAAACATCTCTGCCATGCAATGATGTTCATGCTCTAGCAAAAGAAAATCAAAAATTTCAAAAATAGTTTAGAGCAGCACAGAAAGTGTCATTAATGAACTAAAGAAGTTTGATGAGGCAAATTCCATTTCAAAGAAATGCCTAAAGGCAATATGTAAACAATTTGTCTTTTTAAACATTAAAGGTTTTCATTTATTCTAACAAGACCTATTTTTCATACTGAGTTTTAAATTGTTAACTACTTTTTACTAAGGTTTATATGTCATTGACTATCATTTCTGTCCATGGTTTATATCTGAAATAAAATGCACCAGAACATAAAATAACAGACCACAGAAGGGGACGCTTTCAGATGAAACCTACATAGACCACATTATGATACATATAATAATAGTAATGATACACGAAACTATTAGCTAGTGCCTTTCACGTTAGAATTACATACACATACACACACCCTTATATTTAGAACACTTAACTTGTAGGAAAAGAGAAGGCAAAACATTTCTGGGCAAGAGAAAAACAGTTGCACTACCAGAATCTAAACACTTTTTGCAAGGCTTCTAAACAGTAAAGGAACTAATTATATATCAAAAACAAATCTATTAAAAAATGCCATTTTTGTATCGTAAGACAGAGAATAATGGCATGTTCACATTAGATATTATATACATACATTTATGAAGCTCTTATAATAGAAGTCCCATTAAACAGCTCAGAAGTTGATGTTCAGTTGATGACACTGGAATTCATTCATGTTCTTTTCCTTTGGAGAATGATTTGTAGCTTAGTAGGACAATGGGAAATCAGCTTACTGAAACCCACCATGGTCAAAGTGAATGCTTCTTTTTCTGTCTTGGGCAAACCATTCAAGTTCCTCCTCCTGTGAAGCTGGGAGAATCCATCGTTTCATTCCTATCTCAGTGATCTCAGGAAGTTTGGTCACAGCGCATAACAAGTGTCTAAACCATTGTCCACAATCTCGAAAATTTGATGGTCGAAGGCTAATATCCAGCTCGATTAGCTCTTTGAGGAACCGCACCTTTTGGCAGAACATGGTCCACCCTGCATCACAGACGCTGTCATTATAGCTCAGGTCCAGCTTTCGCAGTTTGGCCAGATGACCCGTCTGTATAACCGATGCTGGAAACGAAAATCATTCTAAATGCTAAAATGCAAGAATACTGTCAGCCATGGCTATTCCCATTTCCCATAACACTATCTCCGGACAAGGAATGACACGATTCGTAATTAGTAATGATTTGTTATTAGCCGCTTCATTCAGGACATCTGAAATTAGTAACAGATTTCCTGTCTGTACATCCCATGTACAAGCTTTTTTATTTCTTTTTCCAAATCCCAACCCAATAATTTTTTTTTTGTCAAGTTCTTGCTCTCTGCGCCACTGGAGTCCCAGTTCTTCCTACAGACTTTCTCTAATTAAATGTAAAGGGTAGTGGATCATTAGCTTTAAATAAGGACCATTTGTAAATAATCTTCTTGCTGCTTATACTGTTTAATTGTTCATTCAGTCATTCTTCATTCAGCAATTATTTCACTGAGCAACTTTCCATGTGCAGAACATACCTGGATAATTTCCAGTTTGCCTTAGAGACCCCCAATACACAAGACAGTTTTCCCTTTGAATAGAACATATCAGTACTACCTACAATGGCACTTAAAAATGATAACTAATGTATGATCTGAGCTATTTGATCAGAAAATAAATAAGTTAATGCTGAAATAAAGACTTCTGTAAGAGAAGGCAGGAGAGCCAACCAAGGCAAACGGGACATGCTTCCCTTTTCAGCCAAACCCAGGAGTGGATGGATGCATGCGTGGCTGAGCCCTCGAACTCACTGTGAAAGTGTTGGCGTTGGAGCGTTCTCCTTGGTCTGAAAGCCATGCCGTGTGAGGAAGGACTGAAAGACCAGGGCACGTTTGGTCCTAGAGGGAGAACATTTGAGGGAGACCTGGCTGTTGCCCAACACTGTAGGGCTGACATGAGTAAGAAGGAGCTGACCGTTTCAGCTGACTGACAGACACACTGGCTGAAAGACACCAGAAGACAGACTGGGGCCCAGTGGGAGGGCTTCCTCCTGCTAAGTCGCTCCATAATGCTGGGGCAAACTTGAAACAGTTCAGGCAGAATTGTGGTGGTCATTAGTAGAGAGCCTGTGAAAAGGATTTCTCTCCGATTATTGATGAGGAGGTTGGATCAAGGAGACTTCCAAGATCCCTTGCAACTCTGAGATTCTATACAACTCACCTGATCTCTGCATCCATTCCTGGGTTTGGCTGAAGACGGACGCATGTACCATTTCTTCTTTTATTTTCCAGAAAGATTGTGTAAAATTAGTATTATTTCTTCCTTAATTGTGTCACAGAATTCACCATTGAAGCCATCTAAATTTGGAATTTTCTTTGTGGGAAAGAGCCCTCGCCTCTACTAAAAATACAAAAATTAGCCGGGCGTGGTGGTGTGCACCTGTAATCCCAGCTACTCAAGAGGTTGAAGCAGGAGAATTGCTTGAACCCGGAACGCAGAGGTTGTAGGGAGCTGACATAGAGCCACTGTACTCTAGTCTGGGTGACACAGAGAGACTCCTTCTAAATAAATAAATTAAATAAACAAAATGCAGACATGCACACACCTCATGAATACAACAACCCTCACCCATCCACATACCCTCTTTCCACCAACGGAATTGTGGACAGGCCACTTCTTTTTTTAAAAAAAAAAAAAAGCTAAATTTTATGTTTTAAAATAGATATTACATGCCCATCGAATAATATTCCAAGGTTATACAGTGAAACTAAACTATATAAATTTTATTCAGATTTAACCACTTTTCTGCGCCTATTCTTTTTCTTTTCCAGTTTCCGATCCAGAAATGCCACATTTCATTTATATGTATGTTCTTTTGTTTGGTTGGTTTTTCCTGAGACAGGGTCTTGCTCGGTCACCCAGGCTGGAGTGCAGTGGGGCAATCATAACTCACTGCGGTCTTGAATTCCTGGACAGGCCACTTCTACAGACAAACTTCAGGTCTTTCTCAGAGGAAAGTGTAATACTGGCGTATTTCTTAACTATTTAATATGTAAAACTATATTACTATTTTTCATAGCTTCTGTTTCTTAAAATATGCCAGTGATGAAGTGTTCGAGTGTGGTGCCTCCAACCATAAGTCCTATGGTTATTACAGCATAATTCTTGCATAATACATAATTTTTAGGCCCATGTGTCGTGTCATAGCAAAACTGACTGGTATATACACTGAGAACACAGATACAACTACCTGGAGTGAGCATTCTATTCTGGCCCTTCACTTGGAGTCGTGTTCATTGCTTTGGAATTCTGGCAGCTGATGGCTGAATAGTGATTGAGGCGAGAGGACAAGGCTAGCTGGGAGACAAAGACAGTACTTTCTGAATCATTGTTTTATAATGGGAGTGGACACACCAAATGATTTTAGGGAATATTTGGAATATTTTCACTGGAATCCCACAGTGCAAAAGTTATTTCTTATTCAATTATCTTTTCATCTCTCTAGACTGACGTGGAAAAAGTATCAGATCAGTACTACAGTATACCTTTAACCTCTGTCATCTTTTTCTAATAGAGAGAAGGAGCCTCTAATCAAAGACATCAGCAGTCTAATATCTATAGGAAATGATAGCTGTATTTCATTTATGATACAGCTATCATATATGATAGCGATAATCAGTTTCCTCCTTAAATAAAAGCATTTAAATTGGAGTCAATTTAAAGGAAAAGTTAAGTAGTAGTATAGGAACCATGTCGATGGGGTGAAATGTAGATAACTGAAGTGGGAACACTCATGGACCGGGAGGTGTGGAACGGAGCTGTATGCCTTTCAGGAACCTCCCCACATATCTATATCCATATCCTTTTATGAAACATCCTCCACTGCCATGTGGTTTTAGAATTGCCTTTGCTCATTCTAATTAGACCTCTCAGCAGATATTGGGGAGAAGGGAATCCGCATAGAGGGCTTCACCCTAGGTCTCATGCCTCCCCAACCTCCCCACTCCATGCTTTGCAGGGATGGTACCCTCTGTTCTGTGTACCGAGACCGCTTGGGAACAAGTAGATACACACCCAGGAGAGCCACGTCCTCTGTCACCAGGGAACAGCTGCTCAGCCTCAGCACTTGAAGAGACATGGAAAGCTTTAGTGTTTCCAGAAGCAGCTTCAAGTTGCCACCAACACACTTGTTCCAAGAAAGGTTGAATACTTCTAGAGCAGAGAGGTGAACGGAGGCTTCAGCTAAAAGTGATAATAATAAGAACAGCAGTAATTTAGGTTTTCTTAGAGATCGTAAGCTTTGGATTAGAAGAAACTGGTCTAGGCCAACATATTAGTATCACTGCAGTTGAGACAGTTGTAAAGACCATTTTCTGCTGCCTTAAATTCATGGCGTCAATGTATGTTGTCTGTTTTTATTTAAAGAAATATTGGAAACTTTAGCAAACAAAAACTTGATAAATTGGAATTCACTGTCCAACTGGGGTTTCTTTCCTTCACTGCACATGTTGGAAGGAGAGAAACGCAAAGTGCTTGGACAGCTAGTAGAGATTTCCAGAATGTGTCCTGGTTGGTACATGTTCCACTGCACAGTCACTGCTGAGATTCAGATGGGCCACCCCTCCCTAAGGGTCTGAAATACCAAAATGTATTTGTGTTTCTTCACAGCAATTATTGCAGGCAAGGAAGGCAACTAATGTATTTTGGAAAGATTTTTAAAGAAAAGTAAAAGATTTTCTGCTTAATTCTCAGTTGCCCCCCAAAGTTAAAATTAACTGGAATATCTTATTCCCAAGTTAATTGTACTTTAAATTATTCTGTCTTCTTTCTAGAGAATAATGTGTTCAAGGGAAAATATATATTCTTTTATAATAGCTAGTAAGAATTATCCCTTACTCATAGTACAGAGATCTACATTAAGGAGAAATGGAACCTTTTCTTTTAAAAGTGATGTAGGGAAATATATATTTATTTAATTTACTTAATTCAAATTGAATGGTAGATTTATGTCAGATGATATACTTTAGTGTAATACCTAGTTGATCATGATTCATTGATTGTGCAGCTAGAATTAGAAAGACCTGTGCCTTCTAATGGCCATTAATTCCTTAAAAAAAATTTTTTCCCAGCCTTGGCAACATGGTAAAACTCCGTCTCTACCAAAAGTGCAAAAATTAGCCAGGTGTGGTGGCATGTTCCAATAGACCCAGCTACTGGAGAGGCTGAGATGGCATGTCCACTTGAGCCCAGGAGGTCAAGGCTACAGTGAGCCATGATAGTGCCACTGCACTGCAGCCTGGGCAGCAGAGCAAGACCCTCCCAAAGTACCAGGATTACAGGTGTGACCCACTGCATCTGGCCCAAGTTCAGAGTTCTTTACTAGGGGTCAGTCATCTAGGTACAGAGCCTCTGCCCAGCATATTCCAAAATTCCATGCTCACAAAAGAACAGCTCCCATTCAACAGAAACCATGTTGTTCGTGCAAAGAGATTAGGCACAGTAAACTACCCTTGTCAACTAGGAAATGGCATGAACACCCTCAAATTCCAAGTTTGGGGATATCAGCCAAGGGCCAGCCTTTCTGGTTGACAGCAGGCCTTTCCAGGGATAGCAGTGTCAACCCTGCTATGTTAACTCTTTTTTGCACCCATACACATGACTGCAGTTGTAGGATTTGGGTGCTTCCTGGATAATGCTGAAAATGGAGTCCTTCTCTCTCACCCTCTCACAAGTCTTTTTTATCAGTTGGCACTTCCTTAAAAATGAATTGTACTGTCAACCAGACAAGGGCTATTATTAACGAAATAAATGCATTCAATTAATACAAATGAGTAGCTATTTATTATTATATATTAATGAAAATGAATGCATACTATTTACCCCAGATTTGAAGAACTCTATATTTAGGGTATTTTTTTTTTTTTTTTTTAAAGACAGGGTTTCACCATGTTGGCCAGGCTGGTCTCAAACTCCTGACCTCAGGGGATCCACCCAGCTTGGCCCCCCAAAGTGTTGGGATTACAGGCGTGAGCCACCATGCGTGGCCTTATTTAGGGCATTCTTGCCCTTTTTTTTCAGCCTGAGTATTTTGTTCGGCCCATTTTTTTTTGTTCAGTTCCTGTAGACTTTGTCCTCACCATGCCCTGCTCCCAGGGCTCCCTCAGCATCGTGCATCTCATTATCCACATGTGTGGATGGGGAAAAGTCCCAGGATATGTAGCCTTCAGCCCTGCTGTTTTAGGATCCATGGACCCACCTGTAGACAGTCTATATGTATGCTTGAAGGGGTGCCTGTGAGCTTCCTAAAACTTATGACAGTTATTCTCTGGGGAAGAGTATGGTACATTTTCTGGTTCTAAAACATCTGGAATGAGACTGCCTGAAATCAAATCCTGGCTCTGGCTCTTATGACCTTGGGTTAGCTCATGTACTTAACATCTCTGTGTTTTAGTTTCCTTATCTGCAAAATATAAAGTGGAACAATGGTGCATGCCTTATACAGTTGTAAGAAATAAATTGGGTAATGCATGTAAAGCTGTTGGCACACAGGATATGCTCAATAAATGTCAGTTGTTACGTTCTGCCCATTTGGTGACAAGTGCAGTGTCACCAAGTAAAGGGAGACATTTTGAAACAAAGACTTGGTAGCACTTTCCCAAATCCATCACCCAGGGAACCAGCAGTTTGTACACACAGTGCCAGGGTCCTCAACGCCACCCCCCTTTACTTGCTGACACTGCAGTTGTCACCAAATGGGCAGAACTTTCAGATTCAGTAGGTCTCTGATGTAGGTTGGGACATATCTGTGACCTTAGGCATACCCAGATTCCAGAGAGTGCACATAAATCCTGTGCGGAGTGACTGCTTGGCAGTCAGCTAGCCTCATACTCTAGTAAATGCCTCACTTTCCCATCAGATCCCCAGCAATCCCAACTCATACTGACACCTCTGCAAAATTACAAGTTACCATGGATCTGGACGACCCAGGTTGGTTTTACACATTTTAAATTTTAAATGTTAAATCTGCACATACCATGGGCAGGCGTGGTGGCTCACACCTACAACCCTAGCACTGTGGGAGGCCCAGGAGGGTGGATCACTTAAAGTCAGGAATTTGAGACCCGACTGGACAACATGGTGAAACCCCATCTCTACTAAAAATACAAAAATTAGCCAGGCATGGTGACATGCACCTGTAATCCCAGCTACTGGGGAGGCTGAGGCAGGAGAATCATTTAAACCTGGGAAGCAGAGGTTGCAGTGACCCAAGATCACACCACTGCACTCCAACTTGAGTGACAGTGTCTCAAAACACAACGACAAAAACACTGCCTGTACCAGAATCATTTTTGTGGACTTTCAAAAGGTCATTTTTAAGAAGGTATGTCCTGAAAAGAAGACAGATTAGTACTTCACAACTTTGGCTGAGCCTCGGAATGAAACGCAGAGAAAAAGAGGTCTCCTTCTCACATTACGCGTGGTTCCTGCAGGGATCTGGTAAATCTCTTACCAAGAGCTGTAAAAGTCTCACTCTCCAAAGCACAGTTGTTGATGACTAATGACTTCAATGCTGGTAAAAATCGGAGCCTGCTGAGTAAGTTTTCAGAAAAACTGCCCATCTTTTTATTGGCTGACAAATCCAATTCTTGAAGATTTGAGAGTAGAGGAATGACCTGGGCTGTTAAAAATATCGACAGTGACATATTTTAGGCACCATCTCACAGAGAGTCTTCTGGGTGTTTTGTTCCCACAGTCTGTCTAATCTGTCAGTCAATACAGCTCTCCCGAAGCCCTCCCTCCCTTACACATCCCAATCCAGCCATCTTCCCAGCATGCTGTGTGGGCTTTCCAACTTCCAAGCTCCTTTCCAGGCTAGAAGAGCAAAGGCTGTGGAGATGAGAACTAGATCTTGGATCTGCTGCTAAAGAACTGTGTGATTTTGGAAAGTTAATGAACCTCTCTGAACCTCAGCCTTCTCAAATCTGAAACTCTCAGCCTTCTCTAATTCACATGGTCATTGGGAAGGTAAAATGACTTGGTGAAGATCAAGTGCCTGGCGCATACTAACTGCTCAATTAATGTTTGAAATTATAATTCTTTTCTCAGAATGTAAGTACCAGTAAGGCAGTGAAAACAAGCAATCGGCACAGACACCTGTCGGTAACAGCACTCTAGTAAATGGTCCTGAGGGGCTCGGTAGGAGTTACCCCTTGTTCGCAGTCTTTTGGCTACTTTTCCTGCCTTTGCCCCAGCTCTTACCAAGGCAGAAAATGCAGTATGCTGGATCTCTACAAGGCTGGCTTACCTCCTCAAAGCTTTGCAGGCCCACCCACACCAAAGTAACCCCTTGGTCACTATCACAGCACCCACCATTATCTGATATTTGCTTGTTGATAGATTTGTTTTCTATCTTCCCTCACTCGCTACAGGCAAGCTCTGTGTGTATAGGAACTACCTCACTCCCAGAATGGGGAACTATTGGAACATCAGAGGTACAAATGTCGGTGGGAGGAGGAAGAGAGGTTAGGGGAGAGAAAGGGGAAAGGCAGGGAAGGCAGGTGGGCACTTGTCAAGTCAACAGGTGTAACTGTTTCTCCCTCTTCTAACCCCCTCAGCACTCTGTATTTCACCATGGAGTTTCGATATGTATTGGTTTATTCCTACGCCTGCTATACCGAAGCTCCTTGACGGCTGGGATTTTCCACAGCCCCTGGCACAGTGCCCCACACCATTAGAGGATTCATCATGTAGCTATTGCTTAAAGGATCTGTACTTCCATTTCTTTGGAGCAATTTACAATGATCGGATAAAAGAATGTTCAATTATTTAACATCATAAAGTATAAAGCAGGATGTATTTTCTTTTCCATCTTTTCAAAATTAAGCAGAAGGAGAACGATGCAATTCATTACAGTTATTGAATAATTCTTAGTTTCCCAAGGTCTTTCACCCGTATCGGTGGCTGTGAACCTAAGACCTAGGTAAGGGAAGCTTAGTCCTCTGTTATACCAGTGGGAACAACTGAGGTCCTCCAGCACTGAATAACAAAATGAGATGTGGTATTCATGTTATTTAATTGTACCAAAGGAATCTGGTGGACCGATAACTCATGAATGTCTTCCTAGGTGTGAAGCTCAGGCTATGATAAGTAAAGGGGATGGTAAGAACCCATAATGCTCCATGCAGAGCTCAAAAAGGGATTATTTTGTCACTTTAAAATCTTCATGAAAGCCTTGAACTCTTCTCATTTTCCCAAATTGAGAGATAAGAGTCTGAGAGATAATTTAGCAGGTTTAAAAAGATAGGCGTTAGACCTAGAAACCTATTTTGCTGTCTTCCTCCCCAAATTGTATTATAAACAACCAAAAACGTATTTTATTCTCACTGTGACCTCATTCATTCATTCACACATTCAACATGCATTTACTTGGTGCCACCACATGTGGGTGCCTGTGCTTCAGCAGTGGGGAGATGCTAAACGAGACACCTCTAGCCTGAAATTGCCCATGACCTGGAGAGAGAGCATGGGCCCAAGGCCAGAGCAGGCCTGGCATGTCTGAGAATCGGCAAGGGCAGTGACCGGGGTGGAGTCAGTGAATGAAGTCAGAATGAGAGAGGACAGGGAGACTCTCGTAATAATCTAAACATGAGACAACCACGGCCTGGACCAGGGTAGTAGAGGTCTAGATGATGAGCCATGGTCTGATTCTGGATGTATACTGAAGGCTTACTGTGGCCACAGATGGGATAAAACCCTTAATCTCAGGCTATGCTTGCTCTGTTTGTTATGGGAAATTGCGTTTCTTTATTACATGTTGTAATTACAGAACTGTGTTTGCAGTAGGAAAATAAGGTAGCTGCCTAAAGCTATAACGTGTAGCCATCATGCACGAGCCCGCTGACTCTTTTTCTGTAACTTTGCTTGTATCTGAGTGGCTTGACATCACTTGTTTTTCAGAGAGCCTCAATACGCTTTGTGTTGGCATTTGGTTACAGATATGTAACCTGTTAGTAATCAACTTTGTGACACTAAGAGATTTCTTTCTTTTTTTATTTTTTGAGACAGAGTCTCACTCTGTCACCCAGGCTGGAATGCAGTGGCGCAATTTTGGCTCACTGCAACTTCCACCTCCTGGGTTCAAATGATTCTCCTGCCTCAGCCTCCCGAGTAGCTGGGATTACAGGCACGGGCCACCACACCCAGCTAATATTTGAATTTTTAGTAGAGATGGGGTTTCACTATGTTGTTCAGGCTGGTCTCAAACTCTAGACCTCGTGATCCACCCACCTCAGACTCCTAAAGTGCTGGGATTACAGGCGTGAACCACCACGCCCGGCCGAAATTTATTTCTAAACAGCAACATAAATTCAAATTTTTCCCTAAGTGTCAAATCTATCATTTGCAGACATGGATATGAGGGGGAATTGAGATTCACTAACATTCACTGAGCATTTAATACATGCCAAATACTATGTTGGGGCATTTACAGAACTTTTATGAAGTGATCTTTCAAATCACTATATAAAAAGTAAATTTAAGTGTACATATTAAAATTTCCAAGTTTCCAAACATAGGCCAAGATTCCAAAAGTCTATCTTTGCTGTGCAGTATATACTTACTCAGTGACATCACGTCATCTGCTGTTAGTGAGCACTGGTGAAGATCTAGGACTTCCAGATGCTTTAGCATGACCACCTGAGCCAGCGAGTCTTCAAAACCTCCACCTAGATCCTTATTGCAGGAAAGATCTAATTTCCTCAGCTCACCTAAGTACCTAAAAGCAGCATCTATAAAGAAAGTCAGAATCCCATTCTGATAGCTGAACACAGTAGCATACCTACAGTCCCAGCTGCTTGGGAGGTCAAGGTGGGAGGATTTCTTGAGCCCAGAAATTTGAGACCAGCCTGGGCAGCAAAGTGAGATCCCATCTCTCTTTTTTTTCTTTTTCTTTTTCTTTTTCTTTTTTTTTTTGAGACAAATCTTGCACTGTTACCTGGGCTGGAGTGCAGTGGCACAATCTTGGCTCACTGTAACCTCCACCTCCTGGGTTCAAGCAATTCTTCTGCCTCAGCCTCCTAAGTAGCTGGGATTACAAGTGCCCACCACCACACCTGGCTAATTTTTCATATTTTTAGTAGAGACAGGGGTTTCACTATGTTGGCCAGACTGGTCTCGAACTCCTGACCTTGTGATCTGCCCGCCTCGGCCTCCCAATGTGCTGGTATTACAAGTATGAGCCACTGTGCCCAGCCTCCCATCTCTTAAAAAAAGAAAAACCCCTGCTGGGCACAGTGGCTCACACCTGTAATCTCACTACTTTGGGAAGTGGAGATGGGCAAATCATGAGGTCAAGAGATGGAGACCATCCTGGCCAACATGGTGAAAGCCTGTCTCTACTAAAAATATAAAAATTAGCCTGGCGGGGTGGCACACACCTGTGATCCCAGCTACTCTGGAGGCTGAGGCTGGAGAATCACTTGAACCGGGAGGCGGAGATTGCAGTGAGCCGAAATCACGCCATAGCACTCCAGCCTGATGACAAAGCGAGACTCTGTCTCAATAGAAAAAAGAAAAAGAAAAAAGAAAAAAAGGAAAGAAAAGAAAAACCCCATTCTGACATATTGCAAGGTGGTAAGAAGGTATGGAGCAGGAGAGGGGCAGTGGTGCAGTAAGGGAGGCTGAGGGAGCACACTGTGTTCACAAAAGACCAAAGGACGAATAAGCGTAGACTTCCTACCCTCTAACCTTCTGTGGACCTGACCATGATTTCACACCCACACTCCCTAAGATCTGCATAGATTGCCAAGAATTTTGACATGAATCCTGCAACTACACTTGAGCATCCTTTATTATTACACTTGAGCATTGGAGTTTACATAGATTTTCAGACTTAATCAAGCTGCCAGTGAATATTACAGGCTCTGTAAGTTGAAGGGAAAAACAGTGTCATTTCCTATTCTCTGTTAATATGGATACTGTCTACAGGGGAGTAAGTTTTAACTGCAGACACCATCAGAGCCATTTTTCTCAGTACCAATTCCTTCCTACGACTGAGCATATAATGCTGACACTTTCAAAAGAGAAAACCTAGTCGTTCTAGCAGCAAAGAATTTTTCCCAGTGTTTATCTCAACCTAAAATAGACTGCCCTTTTCAGAGTCAGTCATATTAAAAGCTTATTTTTATAATCATGAAAGCATATGTTCTCTGTAAAATATTTAGAAAATAAATAAAATATAATGGAGATTTTATTTTTTTTTTTTTGAGATGGAGTCTCTTCTGTCATCCATATTGGCCCATTGCAACCTCTGCCTCCTGAGAGCAAGCGATTTCTCAGCCTCCCAAGTAGCTGGGATTACAGGCTCACGTGCCAGCACGCCCAGCTAATTTTTGTATTTTTAGTAGATACAGGGTTTCACCATGTTGGCCAGGCTGGTCTCAAACTCCTGATCTCAGATGATTCCCCTGCCTCCGCCTCCCAAAGTGCTGGGATACAGGCATGAACCACAACACCCAGCCTAAAGGGGATTTCAGTTACCCATAACCTTATTCCCTAACACAACCACTGTTTATATTTTGCTATATTTCCTAGTAACTTTTCAATATGTATATTTACATGTATATCATATATATTTGTACATGTAATCTTAAATTCAGCCATTGTTAACTCACCCAATATTTTGACACTCGTTTGTGACAATCCACATGAATGTAACTTCAGTACTTTCAGATTTGAGGTACTTTTTAATCCCTGAGCAATACTGTTTAGACTGCCACCAATGTCTCTATTCACGGAAAGATCAAGTACTTCAAGGCTTTGCAGCATCGGCAGCACTTGACCTAAAAGGCAAGAAATCCAAATAAGAAGGACAGGTAGGGAGGGGAGTGGAGTTTCAGGTCTCCTGGGGATATAATGAGCCTCTCTTTAAATTCAGGGTTAGACAAAACACAGCAAACTTAGATTTCCAACCTATCCAATGGGCATCTTTGCTTTTTTTTCTGGGATAGACTCTTCAAATTCGGCTTACCCAGAAATGCGCCATCTTCTGAAGTGAGGGCACAATCCACAAGCTCCAGGATTTGTATCTTGCTCCCTTTTTGGAACTTCTGAAGGATCAGAGGCAAATTTCCTCCCACTTTACTGTTCCAAGACAAATTTAGCTCCTCAAGTTCAGGAATCATCTCAAGTGCTTCTCCTGTTAGCAAAAGGGCCGGAAAATTCTCTTGGTCACTAGTCAGAAAAGCAGGAAATTCATTTCAGAATCAGCACAACGGTTCTTTTTTTTTTTTTTTTTGAGACGGAGTTTCGCTCTTTTTACCCAGGCTGGAGTGCAGTGGTGCGAGCTCGGCTCACTGCAACCTCCGCCTCCTGGGTTCAGGCAATTTTGCTGCCTCAGACTCCCGAGTAGCTGGGATTACAGGCACGCGCCACCATGCCCAGCTAATTTTTGTATTTTTAGTAGAGATGGGGTTTCACCATGTTGACCAGAATGGTCTCCATCTCTTGCTCTCATAATCCACCCACCTCGGCCTCCCAAAGTGCTGGGATTATAGGCGTGAGCCACCGTGCCCGGCCACAACCGTTCTTAATGGAGTGTGGAAACTGAGCCAGGTAGTGCCTTGTTTGGCACCGAGGAACAGAGAGAAGGAAAGAACCCAGTTCCTTCATAGCAGGGCGCACTTCTCTACATTTACGGGCATAGTCATTCCTCCAAAATTCTGAAGCCATGCCTATAAGCCAAAAAATTGTTGTAGAAAAATCCATCTACTGCTAGGGTGGTTTTAGGAAGCTGCTTTTGTGGCGGTTCATCTGCTTTCCCTTAGCCACCCCTTCTGGGATCAGCATTCCTAAGAAGTTTGACCAAGGTTAGAAGCGAGGCAGGCTGGGCGCGGTGGCTCACGCCTGTAATCCCAGCACTTTGAGGGGCCGAGGCAGGCGGATCATGAGGTCAGCAGATCGAGACTATCCTGGCCATGGTGAAACCCTGTCTCTACTAAAATACCAAAAATTAGCCGGGCGTGGTGGCGCGTGCCTGTAGTCCTAGCTACTCAGGTGGCTGAGGCAGGTGAATCACTTGAATCCGGGAGATGGAGGTTGCAGTGAGCCGAGATCATGTCACTGCACTCCAGCCTGGTAAAAGAGCAAGACTCCCTCTCAAATTAAAAAAAAAAAAAAAAAAAAGGTGAGGCAAAGCAGGTAACCGGCCACCACAGAGGTAAAGGTCTCTCAACAATATCACATGCAAATATTTCTATATAATTAGAAGAAGAATATCACATGCAGCTGGGTGCAGTGGCTCACGGCTATAATCCTAGCACTTTGGGAGGTCAAGGCGGGTGGATCACAAGGTCAGGAGTTCAAGACCGGGCTAACCAACATGGTGAAACCCTATCTCTACTAAAAATACAAAAATTAGCCAGGTGTGGTGGCACGCACCTGTTTTCCCAGCTACTCAGGAGGCTGAGGCAGGAAAATCACTTGAACCTGGGAGGTGCACCACTGCACTCCAGCCTGGGCAACAGAGCAAGACTTTGTCTCAAAATATATATATCTATCATATGCAACTGAACTGAACACTACAGAGAGAAACATAATAGAGCATCAGGCACTAGCAACTTATAACAGCCACGCTGCCTTAGGGGGTAGAGGAGGGCACAGTGAAAGAGGGATGAAAACTAACATTTCTGAAACCATTTCACACAGGAAAGCTCCCAGGACTACAGAGTGGAGCCTGGGAGAGAACAGGAGACATGACCAGACAGATCCACCCTTAGGAATGATTTTTCACTGCCTTGGGGGTAGAACATATACATGGAAAATGTACTTTCTCAATGTGCAAACAAGCATTCTGGTAAGTTCCCTGTATCTAGAAGCCTCTTTTACTACCTGCCCCGGGTTTGAACTTCTCCCATTGGTGTTTTTGTTTTTTGTGTTTTGAGATGGAGTCTAGCTCTGTCCCCAGGCTGGAGTGCAGTGGCATGCTCACCGCAACCTCTGCCTCCTGGGTTCAAGGGATTCTCCTGCCTCAGCCTCCCAAGTAGCTGGGACTACAGGCACACACCACCACGCCCAGCTAATTTTTGTATTTTTGGTAGAGATGGGGTTTTACCATGTTGGCCTGGATGATCTCGATCTCTTGACCTCATGATCTGCTGTCCTCAGCCTCCCAAAGTGCTGGGATTACAGCCACGAGCCACCATGCCCAGCCACTTCTACCACTGTTCATTCATTCCATGGATTAAGTTTTAGGAGTCTAGCAAGCCCATGCTAAAATGCATATTCTTGAGGAGTTATGGTATCTTAAGCCAGCAATAAACAGGTATCATTTTGTGTGCTATTGCCAGTCTACTGGGGTGATTTTCTATAGCCCTAAGGTATCCCCCAGGATCTTGGAGAAGGAGCTCATGATTGATTAGTTATGTCTGCAGTGGTCATGGTACTGAAGTGCCATGCATTTGCCACCTTGTACTAAACAATTATAATGGGTGTAACAGTTTTGAAATGCCTTCTGATTTATGTTCTCTTATCAAGAAACCATTTATTTTCCCTATACCCATCTGCATTAAGGCTGAGTGAAGAAGACAGAGTATGGATGATAAGTAAGACCCTCCTGATGAGAGAAGATGCAGAAATCCTTCCAGAGAAGAAATGACTCTGGGAGAGGGAAAAGGGCACAAATATCAGAACAACAGTGCAGACTCTCTCCTGGACCAGGTAAGTCTGGAACAGGCCCCAGGGCAGAAATTCCATTTTCTTGTTTTCTAAGGATGGAGGATCAGGAAAAAGATCAGGTTAATTATAGAAAATAAAAAAGTTGTCTTTTCACACCTGGGTAATGGTATGTTAAAATTGTGAGTCTGCTACACAATCATCAGTTACTTACTGTGGGGCTAAATTGATCATGTAAACCTACAGAAAGGTGGAGAAAGAAGGACTATCAGTTATTGAGCACCTATTATGCGCCAGGCATGTAGTACGTACTTTACAGAAATTGTTTAATCCTCGCAACAATATTTTGAGAGGGAGGTTGTCCCTATTTCAGATATAAGAAAACTGAGGCTCAGAAAAGTTAATTTCATGTTCACGTTCACAAAACTAGTTAAAAGTGGCACTAGGGGCTGGGTGTGGTGGCTCACGCCTGCACTTTGGGAGGCCAAGTTGGCCAGATCACTTGAAGTCAGGAGTTTGAAACCAGTCTGGCCAACATGGCAAAACCCTGTCTTTACTAAAATACAAGGATTAGCCGGGTATGCTGGTAGACACCTGTAATCCCAGCTACTTGGGAGGCTGAGGCAGAATTGCTTGAACCGGGGAGGTGGAGGTTGCAGTGAGCCGAGATCGCACCACTGCACTCCAGCCTGGGCGACAAGAATAAAATGCCGTCTCAAAAAAAAGGGTGGCGACCACTAGGATTCAAAGTAGGATCTGGCCAACCTGAGATGGATAATGTGTCTCTTCAGCTACAGGAAGCGTGGGCCAGGGGACGTCAGCTGCCCCATTTCCAGGGAAGGACTGACAAGCGGAGATAATTGGCATAAAATGTGGTGTTGTTACAGAAATCTTTAAAGAGATGTAAAGGATTAAAATAAGTCGTGAAAATAAGGAACTTCGGCTCTAAAGAAGAATAAAAAATATCAAAGACATCTAATAAACCAGCAAGCATGTCAGAACATCAGTTGGATAAGCAGAATGACTTTGTACAAATGTAATCCTATGTTGCGTATATAAACTAACTTAATGGAGCTTCCAGTTCTAGTTAAACTATTAACTTAAAAATCTTGTTTTGTTTAATTTTTCAAATGGGGGTGGGAAAATCGAAGGAGAAGTATTATTTTGGAATTGTAAAGAACTTAATTTGTGTCTACTGTAACTCCTTTATTTTACACATGTAGGAACTGAGACCCAGTGTGAGCACGTTTTACAATAACCTCCATGAGGCCCGGTGCGGTGGCTCACACCTGTAATCCCAGCACTTTGCGAGGCCAAGGCGGGCAGATCAGCTGAGGTCAGGAGTTCAAGACCAGCCTGGCCAACATGGTGAAACTCTGTCTCTACTAAAAATACAAAAATTAGCTGGGTATAGTGGCACACGCCTGTAATCCCAGCTACTTGGGAGGCTGAGGCAGAAGACTTGCTTGAACTCAGGAGGCGGAGGTTGTAGTGAGCCAAGACTGTGCCACTGCACTCCAGCCTGGGCAACAGAGTGAGACTCGGGATCAAAAATATAACGGTAAAAATAAATAAATAAATAAAGTCCATGAAAGCAGGGACCTGGTCAGCCTTGTTCTTTTCGCTACAGAGCTCAGTACAGACTTAGACACAGGTTTACATAGCTTTTTAGCAGTTACGCACGTGCATTGTGTCATGTATAGTGCCCTTGACCAGAATCACCAATGGAGTAGGCAACAGAGATTGTTTACCCTTGAGGATTCAGCTTGCAAAGGTGCATTGAATGAATCCATCGCTGTTGTTGTTTTTTTTTTTTTTTTGAGACAACAGAGTCTCACTCTGTCACCCGGGCTGGAGTACAGTGGCCTGATCCCAGCTCACTGCAACCTCCACATTTCAGCTTCAAGCGATTCTCCTGCCTCAGCCTCCTGAGTAGCGGGGACTACAGACGCCCAACACCATAACCCAGCTAATTTTTTGTATTTTCGTAGAAACAGGGTTTCGCATGTTGCCCAGGCTGGTCTCAAACTCCTGAGCTCAGGCAATCTGCCTGCCTCGGCCTCCCAAAGTGCTAGGATTACAGGCATGAGCCACTGTGCCCAGCAGAATTAATCTTTTAAGAAACTCATTTATCGTCCAGGCGCGGTGGCTCACGCCTGTAATCCCTGCACTTTGGGAGGCCAAGGTGGGCAGATCATGAGGTCAGGAGTTCGAGATCAGCCTGGCCAACATGATGAAACCCCGTCTCTACTAAAAATACAAAAATGAGCTGGGCGCAGTAATCCCAGCTATTCAGGAGGCTGAGGCAGGGAATTGCTTGACCGGGGTGGAGGAGGTTGCAGTGAGCTCAGACAGCACCACTGCATTCCAGCCTGGGCAACAGAGCCAGACCCTGTCTCAAAAAATAAATAAAATAAAAAAGAAATGCATTCATCATACCCAGTGCTCGAACGTCATCAGTGTTAAGTCTGCAGCTACCCAGCCTCAGGATTCTTAATTTGCTGACCAGATGCATTTGCTGAGTGATGGAATGGAGATTTCCACCTACAAAATCATTCCAGGAGATATCCAGTTCTTCCAAGTCCGGGAGAAAAGGCAGCAAGGCAACTAGAAGTGAACAGAAGAAAATACAGATATGGGTATGTGACTTGTGATCTGTAGTAAATAAAATGCAATGCCTACGTGCACAGGACATAGTTTTGTACTGTAAGGGAATGGACGGGGGTGAGCATGCTGACTTTTGGCAAAGCAGGGAGCCTGTACAACTGGAGAAATTGTAATGTTACATTTTCTATTTCTTGAGATGTTTTCTATTTCTACCAAACAACTGCAGTCTGAAAATGCAGGGTGTGTCACTAAGATTTCATACCGTCTCTCTTCCTAAACTCAGCTCAAGTCTTCACAACTTAAGGAAGGATCAATTAACTTGTTGTTGTTTTTTTTAAATGCTACTCCTGCAATTCTCTGGGACCACTCAGCAGACTGGGGGTTACCAGGTGGTTGCCGAGCCTGTTTTATCTGCTCATCTCAGCGGGAAGACCCCGTCTTCCCGTGTGCAAGGTCTATGGCAAACAAACCCATTTCTTCCATGTCTGCCGTTGTTAATCCGCAGCTATTCAGATCCAGACACTTGTCGACAGCCTTTTTGCCCAGCTTCTGCAGGAACTGCTCATTTTCCTCCATACTGGATCTCAGTTCCATTCCTGAATTGAGAGGCTTAGCTGTGTGATAAGCATAAAAAAGAATTTGCCGTTGATGGATGTATGAAAGACGCCTAGTGAGCACAATCAGACAAGTGAAAAAACCGCACAACTCTGAACTGGCGTGTTAGAAAAACCTCAATGCAGAGGCAGAGCCATCTACTGGGGACAAAGCTTGACTAGCCGCTGTTCCTGCCACCAGGTGCCCAGACACTGCTTCAAGGAGCAAGGAACTCAGTGGCTTTTCTATCATGACCTGACCTGTGCTTCTCAGCATGAAGACAGACAGAGCTGCATTCCTGGGTGAGAAGCAAACCTCCCAGCCCAGCTTTTGAGATGCTTGCTTACTTGAAGGGCACACATAGCCTTTGGTGGATGCAACTGCTAGGGAGGAAGCAGAGATACTTGCCTCCTAAAACTAAGCAGGTAAAGAGGGTAAAACACCAAAATCACCATCAATGAGCTTCAAATGGCTCCACAGAGTGGAATTCTTGCCGGTCAGTTCCTAGACCACTCAATTGGCAAACACAAATCCAGAGAAAGTAGGCCTTGGAGAGCTTTTGCTCTTTCTCAACTCCTACCAGAAAGTGCATTTGGAAAGCCTTGTTTGTCCTTCTTGTCACTGTGGCCCCCTCACCAGCTCCTCTGTATAACACTATAATAACATGATAGCACTATAATAATAAAAGCTATCATTGTATTAAGCACCTACTATGTACTCATTCTTCACCTACTTGCAGATGCCATCATGTTTTTCTTTCTTTTCTTTCTTTTTTTTTTTTTTTTTTGTTTGAGATGGATTCTCGTTCTGTCACCCAGGTTGGAGTGCAGTGGCACAGTCTCGGCTCACTGCAACCTCTGCCTCCCAGGTTCCCATTATTCTCCTGTCTCAGCCTCCCAAGGAGCTGGAACTACAGGCACCCGCCACCACACATGGCTAATTTTTGTGTTTTTAGTAGAGACGGGATTTCCATGTTGGCCAGGCTGGTCTCGAACTCCTACCTCAGGTGATCCATCTTCCTTGGACTCCCAAAGTGCTGGGATTACAGGCATGAACCACCATGCCTGGCCAGGTGCCAGCATTTAAGACATACTTGAAATACATCATACTTTTGTAAGGAAAAATGAATATACATGCACTCGCAGTGATTTGAAAGCAGTTGTGTAAGTGATATATACAACTTTAAACATATAGCTATGTATATTGAAATCCAATAAAAAAACCGTAAGTTCTGGAATATGCAGTAATATTTTATTAACCCTGACAAAAGGTATAAGACCACATAGCTAAGAAGAAATACATTGGTACCAGTGAAAATTAAAAGATAGTAGGATTGCAGTAGTAATACATTTAGACCAAATGATTAGCAGGATAATAAAAACTACACCTCTAATCCACAGCAGTCTTTTGGCTTCCTGTTTGTTCTAAGAAAACCATAGATAAGATACTCATCTTTGTTGGAATGATTGGTGTTATTACCACATTTCACCAGTAGGAGGCAGCAGTATCCACCATTTAACCTTTCTTTTTTTTTTTTTTTTTTTTTAAGACGAAGTTTCACTCTTGTTACCCAGGCTGGAGTGCAATGGTGCAATCTCGGCTCACCGCAACCTCTGCCTCCTGGGTTCAGGCAATTCTCCTGCCTCAGCTTCCCACGTAGCTGGGATTACAGACACGCGCCACCATGCCCAGCTAATTTTTTGTATTTTTAGTAGAGACGGGGTTTCACCTTGTTGACCAGGATGGTCTCGATCTCTTGACCTCGTGATCCACCCGCCTCGGCCCCCAAAGTGCTGGGATTACAGGCTTGAGCCACCGCGCCCGGCTAACCTTTCCATTCTCCCATTTTTACGGCACATTGGACACAAGGTATTTAATTTTGGGTAGAGTTGCCAGATGTAGGATGCTCAGTTAAATTTAAGTTTAGTTGTTGTTGTTGTTGTTGTTTTTGAGATGAAGTCTCAGGCTCACTCAGTTGTCCAGGCTAGAGTGTAATGGTGAGTTCTCGGCTCACTGCAACTTCTGCCTCTCAGGTTCAAGCGATTCCCCTGCCTCCGCCTCCCAAGTAACTCAGATTACAGGCGCCCGCCACCAGGTCTGGCTTATTTATTTATTTTATTTTATTTTATTTTAAGTAGAGATGGGATTCACCACGTTGGCTGGGCTGGTCTTGAACTCCTGAACTCAGGTGATCTGCCCGCCTCGGCCTCCCAAAGTGCTGGGATTATAGGCATGAGCCATGGTGCTCAGCCTTAAATTTCAAATCAACAAGGGATCATTTTATAGTATGTCTCAACTACTGCATGTATTTTCTCTGGCAACCCTAATTTTGGGTCGAGCAGAGCAGAATTGTGGATGGGAGACAAGGAGGGATACTGCCGTTTAGGTGCCAGCAAAGTACAAGACATTTTGTCTAAGGGAGTCACAAACAATTTCATAGATTTGGACACTTTGAGAAATGATTAATTAGGAAGAAGCAGAGCCTGAATTTGAACCTGGAAGAGTTTGTTCCAAAGCCCATGGTGTGTGTGTTTTATTTTTGTATCTAAAAAGATTTCTCTGCACTGCATCTTATTGGTGTCTCTCTTTGCTTTTACGCTTTTTACCTCAACCTACGATCACGTTCAAATTCCAGCCCCGCCAAACCCACTCTTCTGTTTTCTCCAGACACTGCTCTGTCAAGCATTTCCCTTACTGTTAAATGTTTGGAAAGAGTGGTTTGCACTTGCAGGCCCAGCTTCTTCCCTCTACTGTCTGGTTGCTACACTCCTCTGTCCAAATAGTTTCTCAAAGGTCACCAACAATAACCTACAAACTGATAGACTCGGAAATCTCTTCTCAGTCCACATCCCACTGGGCGCTCTGTCATATTTGACGGAACTGACAAGTACGCAGCACAGTCAGAAGACCTGGTTCAAACCACCCGTCTATCTGAGGAACAAGTCACTTAACCTCTCTGAGCCTTGGTTTACTCACCTATGAAATGCCTGGTTCATTTCTCAAGAGCATCATGATTTAAACTTACTGAAACCTCCCAGGGACATGGGAATCTACAGGGCCTTTTACCTGAGAGGTACTTGGTAAATATTTGTTGAATGAGTAAATAATTGAATGAATAAATATTGGTTTTATAGTTCCTCAATTACCAAAATAAGTCATCATGATAAATCTTTATCAAAACATCTAAATATAAATGTGAGTACTAACTTATGAGACCCCTGGACATTTCACAGACCACATATTTCAATATTTTTTATCTATGAAACCCCACCAGACGTGGTGGCTCATGCCTGTAATCTCAGCACGTTGGGAGGCTGAGGCAGCCAGGTCACCTGAGGTCAGGAGTTCGAAACCAGACTGGCCAACATGGCAAAACCCCATCTCAAACCCTGTCTCCATTAAAAATACAAAAATTACCTGGGCATGCTGGTGTGCACCTGTAATCCCAGCTACTCAGGAGGATGAAGCAGGAAAATCGCTTGAACTTGAGAGGTAGAGGTTGCAGTGAGCTGACATTGTGCCACTGCACTCCAGCCTGGTGACAGAGCAAGACTCCATTTAAAAAAAAAAATTTATGAAACCAAATTAGCCAAGCATAGTGGTGGACACCTGCAATCCCAGTTACTAGGGAGGCTGAGGCATGAGGATCTCTTGAACCAGGAGGCAGAGGTTGCAGTGAGCTAAGATTGCATCACTGCACTCCAGCCTGGCAATAGAGTGACTCTGTCTCAAAAAAAAAAAAAAATCTATAAAACCTTCTCTTCACAGGATACCTTATGTCACAGCTCAGTATGTAGAGCTGGTGAGTCGGCTGCTGCAGCTAGCCTGGAGTGGGGTGGGAGGCACGGGGCGTGGGGGTGCAATAGTAACCACACAGGAGCAGCTCTGTGGAGATTCGGGTCTTTTTCTAGCTGGGTTAGCTCGGAACAAAGCTCTTGGCTCTTAGTGCCTTCTCACCAAGTTCCTTTCCAACTGAAACCTGTCAAGGTTTGTCAACCAAAACACCTGATACTCATTAAACATTATTACACATTGGTAATGGGTGGTACTGTACCAGGAACCAAGATAACAAGTTCCTGTTTTCAAAGAGCTGCCTGTCTAGTGAGAGAGACAGCAAGGAAGCCACAGTTGCCATGTAGATGAGAAGTGGAGGCGTGCAGTGTATGGTTGCACACTTCAGTGACAATAAGTCAGTCATAGAGAATATACAAAGAATATAGAGAGAATATAGACATTCTCTTCAAGGCAAGAGACTCAGGGAAGGATTTTAAGCAGGTGAGAGACACCATTGTATCTGTGGTTTAGAAAGAGCACTATGGGCTGGGCGCGGTGGCTCACACCTGTAATCCCAGCACTTTGGGAGGCCGAGGCGGGTGGATCATGATGTCAAGAGATCGAGACCATCCTGGCCAACATGGTGAAACCCCGTCTCTACTAAAAATACAAAAATTAGCTAGGCGTGGTGGCACACACCGGTAGTCCCAGCTACTTGGGATACTGAGGCAGGAGAATCACTTTAACCCGGGAGGTGGAGGTTGCAGTGAGTCGAGATCACACCACTGCACTCCAGCCTGGTGACAGAGCAGGACTTTGTCTTAAAAAAAAAAGACAGAAAGAAATAGAAGGAGCACTATGGCAGTGTGGAGGACAGACTGGCAAGAGAGCAAGACTAGAAGCAGAGAAACCAGTTGGAATGCTATTGCTGTGGTCCAGACAAGAGACAATGAGAGCTAGACAGCAGCAATGGAGAGGAAGAACCAGGTGGGACAGCTATGTGGGGACAGAATGAATATGCATTTAGGAGCCACTGAATTTTGGAAGAAATCGAAATGAAGAACCAGGCAGCTTGGGCGGCCAGCGTTGCACTGCAGGGAGGGCCGAGGCTTGTTAGTTTAATGACGATTACATTCATTCGTTAACCTTTTTTCCGATGCTCTAAATCACGCTCTAGAACAAAAATGAACACTTTTCTGATAGAGATGGTCTTCTTTTAAAGACTTTGATTTCCTATTTATAAAAACATACTTAAAATACATTTAATTTACTTACCACTAAAACTATATTATTTTTGGCATTTAATGGCAAACAATCTGATGGGAGGGAGGTCAGGTATAAATGAAATAAAATTGGCCAGGCGCAGTAGCTCACGTGTGTAATCCCAGCACTTTGGGAGGCCAAGGCAGGCAGATCACATGAGCTCAGGAGTTCAAGATCAGCCTGGCCCACAAGGTGAAACCCCGTCTCTACTAAAAATACAAAAAATTACCCAGGCGTGGTGGCACACGCCTGTAGTTACACCTTCTTGGGAGGCTGAGGCAGGGGAATTGCTTGAACCTGGGAGGCAGAAGTTGCAGTGAACTGGGATTGCACCACTGAACTCCAGCCAGGCGACAGAGCAAAACTCTGTGTCTCAGAAAAAAAAAAAAAAAAGAAATAAAATCAGCCATGGATTGACTCTTTTTAAGGGTCTTGCTCTGTCACCCAGCATGGAGTCCAGTGGTGCAATCACGGCTCACGACAGCTTCAACCTCCAAGATTCAAGCGATTCTCCTACCTCAGCCTCCAGAATAGCTGGGACCACAGGCATACACCGTCGTGTCCAGCTAATTATTTAAACTATTTTCTAGAGATGGGGTCTAGCTGTGCTTTCCAGGCTGGTCTTGAACTCCTGGTCTTAAGTGATCCTCCTGCCTCAGCCTCCCAAAGTATTGGGATTACAGGCGTGAGCCACTATGCCTGACTGATAATCACTAAAGGTAGGCGACCATGGGCATTCTTTGTTCTATTTTTGCATATGCTTAAAATGTTTTAAAAATGCTTTTAACCTGACACATAATATATTGATGACATTGCACATAACACATTACTTTAGACAGGGATTGGACATCATTTATTCTCCTAACCCTTGAATTTGCAATTCCTGTTCTGGAAATTTGTACTTTAAAAATAGCTAAAATACAGTAAAACAGTGAATGGAAAAGAAGGAAAGCCAAAGGCACTCACTGAAGGGCAAACAAGGAACTCACTGAGTAATTAAGACACATGGACGTAATGGAATGTTATGCAACCATGAAAATTACACATCTGAGCATCATGCAGCAATGTGGGAATTGAGCAATATAATAATATGTTCCAGAAGTAGGATCACCGCTCCATACACTCAGGAGGGATCTGTAAGCTATTACAACTGTGCAAAAGACGCCAATCTGGCCCCAGCGACCTCTCTGACTTGTCTTCCACTACCCACTTCCTCTCCATGTCTCCCATCCTGCTTCAGTACCCCGGACTTCCTGGCTTTCTCTCATTCTAGGCTCCGTCCTATCTGGGGCCTTTGCATGTGCAGTCCCTTTGCCTGAAGCGATTTCCACAAATACCTAAGTGGCTGGCTTTATTCATTCATTCATTCATTCATTCCACAAAGCTGATTTTATTCAGATTGCTGCTCAAATATCTCCAAATTGAAGACTTCTTTCCTCCACCCCATCTCCATCCCATCATTCTTTGTCTCCTTAGCCTGCATTATTTTTCTTCATATCACTTACCACCACCTGAAGTTATATCTGCATTTGGGTTTTTTCATGGCTGTATTTCTAACACTTAGAGCAGGGGTTACCACATAGTAAACACTCAATAAATATCTGTTGACTGCTGACTGACAGAACATAAATGCATACACATGAAGAAAAGACTGAAAAGAATCTTAAAGAACGATTATTTGTGTTATAATGAAAGGAAATTAGGTATTTTCCCTGAACCTTTCTGTAGTGTTACATTGCTTTCAGTCATTTAAAAGTGAAATTATGAATCATTTAAAGCATTTAAGCAACATAATAAATGCTTAGCACAGAAACTCAGAGTCAGAATCTTTAGTCTCAAAAGTCTTAAAGTCTTTAACCCAAAGATCACATTAGAGGAAAACTCTGAAAAATAAAGAAATACAGAGGCTGGGAAGGGTGTGTGTGTGTTCTGGGGGAGGTGGGGATGGTTAATGGGTGCAGAAAGAATAGTTAGAATATATAAGACCTACTGTTTGATAGCTCAACAGGGTGACTGCATTTATTCTTTGCATTACAAACAATCCAATTATGCTCTTTTAGTTATTTTTAACTGTGCAAATATTCTACATTTAAAAGTAACTAAAAGAGGCTGGGTGTGGTGGCTCACACCTTAATCCCAGCACTTTTGGAGGCTAAAGCGGGAGGATCATCTGAGGTCAGGAGTTCGAGACCAGCCTGGCCAACACGGTGAAACCCCATCTCTACTAAAAATACAAACATTAGCTGGGTGTGGTGGTGCACGCCTGTAATCCCAGCTACCTGGGAGGCGGAGCCAGGAGAATCACTTGAATCCGGGAAGCAGAGGTTGCAGTGAGCTGGGACACTCATAGCAACTCATTGCACTCCTGCCTAGGCAACAAGAGTGAAATCTGTCTCAAAATAAATAAATAAATAAAAACAACTAAAAGTATAATTGAATTGTTTGTAACACAAAAGATAAATGCTTGAGGGGATGGATACCTCGTTCTCCACAATGTGATTACTATGCATTGCATGACTGTATTGAAACAGCTCATGTACCCCATAAACATAGGTACTGACTATGCACCCAGAAAAATTAAAAATAAAAATGTTTTAAATCTGAAAGTAAAAACAAAACAAAACAAATACAACAGCAAAACACCAGCAGCCAGCAGCTTACCGGTGTCTGAGGTGGCTGTCTTCTGTATCCAGTCACCCGGTTGGGAATCGGTTATTTGAAGGTCATTTTTCTCTTCTCTGCTTTCGGCTTTGGAATCCCTGAGAAATTTGTTGACAAATGAAGTCTGGGACTTTGTTTCTCCTTCTGAGGAACTGTTCTTCCTTGTTTGACTCATGGTGAAATTGATGGCAGTATTTTCCAATAAGACATCTTCCTGTTGTTTTCTGTTTTCTAGGATTTCGAAGAAGAAAATAAGATTCTGTCAAGCCTGTGTTCAATCAAAATATCCTCCCCTACGTGAGTGCCCCCCCCCCGTCCCTCCACCTTTCTCTATCTTTTTTTTTTTTGAGACAGAGTCTCACGCTGTCGCCAGGCACCAGGCTGGAGTGCAGTGGAGCAATCTCGGCTCACCGCAACCTCCGCCTCCCAAGTTCAAGCAATTCTCCTGCCTCAGCCTCCCGAGTAGCTGGGACTACAGGTGCGCACCACCACACCCAGCTAATTTTTGTACTTTCAGTAGAGACGGGGTTTCACCACGTTGGCCAGGATGGTCTCCATCTCTTGACCTCATGATCCGCCCGCCTCGGCCTCCCAAAGTGCTGGGATTATAGGCGTGAGCCACCGCGCCTGGCCCTCTATCTGTTTTTTATTGCTGGTAATGTTTAACATAAAAATAAGAATGATGTAACCCAAGATCCGGGAACCAACAGATGGTAACAGATACACATCCAGAGCCATATGAGTTTTTAACTTTGCCCCATTTCATTGTGAGAGATAAACCATTAAACATGACTTTGGCAAGTGCATCCAGTGTGTCAACACATCTTAGATTACAGCTGTCAATTAGAGTTACTTGAAAACTTAGCCTGCCTTTAAAAGGGGCTAGCCATTTGCAAAGCTGTCCCCAGAGGAGTTTGCACCTTCGAGTGACCCCCACCCCTTCCTTTGCACACCGGCTCCTTTTTCTCTTTGCATTTTCATACTTTCTCTTCCCCTAACCCTGCACCAGCACCCCACTGAAACATGTTGGCAGTAAAGAATTCATTCATTCTATAAATAATTTTAAAGAATCTACTGTGGGCCAGTTATGTTCTAAATGCAAAAGACTCAATGATGAATAAGACACAGCTCTTGTCTTTGATGGGATCTTAACCTGGTGGGAAGATGGACCTGTATGCCATTGATTGACAGGGACAAGAGCCAAGAGATGGGGGTGGTCAAGGAACCCCCAGGTAAACTAAGCATGCCTTGGAAAACAGACTTGGAACAGTGAGTGACATTGCCTGGGTTTGGGGAACTGAGAGTTAGCTTTTTAAGAGAGGGAAGAGCATCCCAGGCGGAAGAAAAGAGCAAGCTCAGAAGCTCCCAGGCAGGAAGGGCTGGAGGAGCTTTAGAGATGTGGAGGTTACAGATGAGGTCTGGTACGATTTGAAGCCAAAAAGGACTTATAAAGGTCAATCTATTATGGCTCCTGAGATTTGCTTATACTTTATGGGAGGGTTAGTGATTTAAACTAAAGGAATACATAGAGGTCTTTGGGTTTGGTTTGGTTTGGTTTTAAGGTAGAGATGGGTTTTCACCATACTGGCCAAGCTGGTCTCAAATTTCTGGCCTCAAGTGATCCACTCACCTCGATCACCTCGACCTCCCAAAGTGTTGGGAATAAAGGTGTGAACGACTGAGCCCAATCGAGGTATTCTTGAAATTACAGCATTCATGGTTTCCCCTCTACAAAATAGCTTTTTCTGTAATATTATGTTCCACAACGGTCCAAGAAACATTTTACACAGGGAATCCTAAAACTTGACCTTACAGAGCACACCTCCACTCCTGAAGGATGGAATGTTCCGTGCATGTGGAGCACTGCTTTGGAAGTCACAGCTGGGCATTCCATGTTTCTTTTAAAATTTTCCTTCCATGTTAGAGCAGGGCCCAGCCCTAGTTTATCCAGGAGCAGACAGCAGTGGAACTAGAATTGCCCCATGCCATGGCAGCACAGCTGACTAGTCTTGGGGGTTGGGTGGAAAAGAAGAAGGAAAGAGGGGCTAAGTCATAAATCCAAACCGGCAGCCCTGGCTGCCCCACCCTGATTCCACCATCACCCCAGGTCTTTCTCAGTTCCCTGCTCTTCTGGCCCCACCCAAGACTTACCTCCATGGTCATTTTCGGCCCATTTCACCGTTTGGAGATTTAGACAGGGCTATTCTCTGGGGAGCAAGCTCAGTAAATGGTTTTACTTTTTTATCCTCCCTGCAAATGCACTGACTCCAACTCCCCAAGTCCTGAGAAGACATTGCTGGAGGGTGCTCCAGGATGTGGTAATTTACCTAGGTGAAACCCCACCCAGCTTCTGAGGCCCAGCTGGTTCTCTGTGAGATTAGTGCACTAGGAACAGGGAAGCCAGGAAGGCAAGAAACACAGGAACCAAGGAACAGAAGAGGATGCAAAGAAGAGGCGAGGAACCCAGAGCTTTGGGAGGCTGAGGTGGGCAGATCACAAGGTCAGGAGATCGAGACCATCCTGGCCAACATAGTGAAACCCTGTCTCTACTAAAATAAAAAAAAATTAGCCAGGCATGGTGGTGCGCGCCTGGCTACTCAGGAGGCTGAGGCAGGGGAATCGCTTGAACCCGGGAGGCAAAGGTTGTAGTGAGTCAAGATCAAGCCACTGCACTCCAGCCTGGGCGACAGAGCAAGAGAAGACAGAACGAGAGAGAGAGAGAGAAAGAGAGAGAGAAAAGGAAGGAAGGAGGGAAGAGAAGGAAAGAGAGAAAGAGAAGGAAAGAAGGAAAAAGAATGAGAAAGAAAGAAGGAAAGCAAGCAAGCAAGCAACCAGGAGGCTAACGAGGAAACAAGAAAGGACCATGCCCGAGGAGGGAAGACTTTTGAATTAAAAAGGGGGAAGCATCTGCACATTTCTTCATATATATAGTTAGGTACTAGGTTACCATGCACGTATTTAAAAGAGGAATAATTTTTTCTTCAGAATATATCTGGGAAATTCCTATTCATGTAAAAACTTTAATAAGCCTTCAGGCTTCCCATACCAATTCAAGCTTTAAAACCTTAGCTTCAATAAACCTTCCACTTCCTCCTTATCCCTGCACTGGACTTTATAAAGGTAATCCCTGGAAAAGGAATTTGGGAAAATTTGCAGATCACAACACAACCACCACACTACAGCAGCTAAAAACTAAGGGCTTGTTCATTCACCCAGAACAAAAAACATTCACTTAGGAGCTCTTAGGAGGCCAGGCGCGGTGGCTCCTGTAATCCCAGCACTTTGGGAGGCCGAGGTGGGCAGATCACCTGAGGTTAGGAGTTCAGACCAACCTGACCAACATGGAGAAAGGCCGTCTCTACTAAAAATACAAAATTAGCCGGGCATGGTGGCGGACACCTGTAATCCCAGCTACTCAGGAGGCTGAGGCAGGAGAATCACTTGAACCCAGTAGGCGGAGGTTGAGGTGAGCTAAGATCCCGCCACTGCACTCCAGCCTGGGCAACAAGAGCAAACCTCTGTCTCAGAAAAAAAAAAAGCCCTTAGGAAAAAGAAATAACTGATATTTAAATTCAACTCCTCAGTATTAATTGAGCAGATATTTTCCATATTTACTGTTCTTAATAGGTAAGGTTGTTTGCCATGAAGCCCCGAGTAATACATGTTTGACATGTCATTTCTCTTGCATGTAAGCGGTTTTTATTTACTTTTGCAAAAGAAAGGAATACTTTTCCTTTCTTTTCAATCCTTAGGTTTGGGTTTAATACAATTAAACATTTTTTGAGAAATGCTTTTAAAGATCTTTCTTTCTTTTTTTTTTTTTTTCCTTTTTTTGAGATGGAATTTTGCTCTGTTGCCCAGGCTAGAATTCAGTAGCGAAATCTCAGCCCACTGCAACCTCTGCCTCCCGGGTCCAAGCGATTCTGTGACTCGGCCTCTCCTAAATAGCTGGGATTACAGGCGCCCACCACCACACCTGGCTAATTTTTGTATTTTTAATAGCAATGGGGTTTCACCATGTTAGCCAGGCTGGTCTCAAACTCCTGACCTCAGGTGGTCTGCCCGCCTCGGCCTCCCAAAGTGCTGGGATTATAGGTGTGAGCCACCACACCCAACCAGTCTTTCATTTTTTGATGTAATATTTCATATTTTCAATGTTGAATCATTCAATGTTGAGTGAATCATATATTCAATGTTGTTTGGCAAAGGGAGATGCATTTGTCTTTCTCCGCAGACTTACTTCATTAAAAAAGAAAGAAAATTCTGTTGCATGTTACAACACGAATGAATCTTGAGGACATTATGCAAAGTAATACAAGCCAGTCACAATAAGATAAATACTGTATGATACCTCTTCTATGAGGTATCTCAAGTAGTCAAATTCATGGAAACAGTAAGAATTGTGGTTGCCAGGGCTGGGGGGAGGGGAAGTAGGGAGTCATTTGATGGGTATAGAGTTCTAGTTTTGCAAGATGAAAATGTTCATCTTTGGCCGGGCGCGGTGGCTCATGCCTATAATCCCAGCACTTTAGGAGGCCGAGGCAGGTGGATCACGAGGTCAAGAGATCGAGACCATCCTGGTCAACATGGTGAAACCCCGTCTCTACTAAAAATACAAAAACTTAGCTGGGCATGGTGGCGCGTGCCTGTAATCCCAGCTACTCAGGAGGCTGAGGCAGGAGAATTGCCTGAACCCAGGAGGTGGAGGTTGCGGTGAGCCGAGATCGCACCATTGCACTCCAGCCTGGGTAACAAGAGCGAAACTCCGTCTCAAAAAAAAAGAAAATGTTCATCTTTGCACAACTTTGTGAATCTGTTGTACAACAGTGTGAATATATTTAACACTACTGAACTGTATACTTAAAAATGGTTAAGATGGTTAATTTTGTGTTGTGTGCTTTTTACCGCAATTACAATATTTTTAAGTGTATTTTTAAAAAGTGATTGAGGCTGGGCGCAGTGGCTCACTACGCCTGTAATCCCAGCACCTTGGGAGGGCAAGGCTGGCAGATCTCCCGAGCTCAGGAGTTCAAGATCACCCTAGGTAACATGATAAACTCCATCTCTACTAAAATACAAAAAAAAAATAATAATAATAACTGGGCATAGTGGTGCACTAGGTCCCAGCTACTAGGGTGACTGAGGCATGAGAATCTCTTGAGCCCAGGAGGTGGAGGTTGCAGTGAGCCAAGATCCTGCCACTGCATGCCAGCTTGGGCTACAGAGTAAGACTCCACCTCAAAAAAAAAAAAAAAAAAAAGTGATTCAATGGACTAGAACTCCAAATATAAAGTTTTAAGACTACCTTAATCAATTTCTACTTTTATTTTCTTTCTTATATATCCACAAGTGTGACATGATTTTAGAAAATCCATGCCTAACTAATTCATCTATATATATATATGTATTTTTAATGGAGTCTTGCTCTGTTGCAAGGCTGGAGTGCAATGGTGTGATCTCAGCTCACTGCAACATGCGCCTCATGGATTCAAGCAATTCTCCTGCCTCAGCCTCCTGAGTAGCTGGGACTACACATGCATGCCACCATACTCAGCTAATTTTTATATTTTTAGTAGAGATGGGGTTTCACCATGTTGGCCAGGATGGTCTTGATCTCTTGACCTGGTGATCCACCCACCTCGGGCTCCCAACTAAATAGATTTTTAAGAAGCATAAAATTAAAATCCTAGGAAACTGAAAAAAGAAAGCTTCAGTCACTTAGTTCTAAGGCATTCTGGTGGCATGCAGTATGTCTGATGAGCTTAGTTCAGCCTTATTCAGAACTCTTGTCTTAAACAGGCATTATTGTAGATATATTCTAGTACTTTGGTTAATACTGCTGTTCTTAGTTAATTTAAGCAGAAAAGGAATTTATTAAAAGAATGATGTGGAAGTTCTACTAAAAGGATGGCAGAGGTAAATATGTGTTTACCTCCACTTCTCTGGAAACCCCACTTAATTAACAGGAGATTTTTTTTTTTAATTGTAAATCTGTAAGGATAAGGAGAACTAGATGTCAACACAACTTTGAAAACTAGCGAGCAAGAGGATGAGTTTAACTGACTTTAAAGTTAAGTGCCTGCTTGGATTGAGAGAACAAACTTTTCAAATGTCAGAATCCCAAAAAATCTCAGTAATTGACAGCACAAGGTAACTCTGAAGTTAGGAGAGGGGTGGGTAGGGCTGCACACAGGATGATTCGCGAAACATTTGTAAGAGGTTAAATTGTTAAATTCCATTTCTCGCTCCAGGTAGCCTCTACCCCATCACAGGATACGCAGATTTAGTCCCTCTGTTACATGTGAACCATGGTCTGCTGTGGCTCTCCGTCATTTGCCTTAAAATAGAGTTGCTCCTGGAGCTTTGCAGAATGGGCGTGCCTCACCATCAGTCACACACTTATGAACATCTGTGACCTGTAATGCCTTTACCAGGTATTAATAGGTGCAAAGAAATAGAACTCAAGGCCCTTGTCCTCAAGGAACTAACTCCCCAGCTGGGGAAACAAGATGTTAATTTCTTAAATATTACTTAAATTCATGGCTATATATTTTCAAACACAGTATCAATTTAAATACAGCGTCAGGCGATCTAAGAATTTCAGAAGTGAGAAAGCTTCACACAGCCCGTTACAGAGTCAGGGTCTACGGGGATGTGGGAGGCAAGCTGGCTTAAGGGTGGCAGGACTTGGGTTTTGGAAGCTGGATGGCCCTGCTGAGCCTGGGAGATCAGGGAGGAACAAGAGCACAACACGGATCGTGGAGCGAGAGCATCTGCCATGAGCAGCTGGGAGGAGGATGCCACAGAGCAGCAGGGGAGAGATGCTGAGAGCAGAGCACTCACCCAGCAGCCGCCTTCCCTTTGTCTTCGTCAGGTCATCTCACTTCTGACTTCGGGCTTTCCCCAGGTCATAACATAACCAGGCAGCTTAAATTCAAAATGCATTTTAAAACTTTTTTTTCCTTTCTCTTGGGTGTTAGTATATAACCTTGAAGCAAACTGCAGAAGCCTTTCCCCTTAGCCTTAAAATTGATTCCACTTCCGTCCCTTTCTCACCATATATACTCGGTTCACATTTATCTGACTGTGTGCCAGTATCTAATTGTGTTCTTTCTTGGAAATTCCAGGGGCTCATCTCAAGAAGGACAGACAGACCAAGGCGCTGGAGACCCAGGTATAAAGTTCCAGAGATGACGTCAAGGTGGCTAGTCAAAAACACAGCCATTGTTGAGATGAGGCCAGCCCGAGATCCAGTTGGACTGGGACCCAAGACAGCCACCAGAACCAGACGCACGGACACGGCACTCGGCACCACTGTTGCATGCCTTCCTTACCAAGTTTTCCTGTTTGAAACCCCTGCCTCCCCGCCCAACACCACAAAATTGAAGTGGTTGTTTTGGACGGGAATCCAGCCACTTCCCCTTTACTAATCTTGGTTAGTAAAATTCACTTTCTTTCTACCAGACCTTACCCCCCACCTTTTTTTTTTTTTGAGACAAGGTCTCCCTCTGTCACCCAGGCTGGAGTGTATGTAGTAGCGTGATCTCAGCCCACTGCAACCAACCTCCACCTTTCTGGCTCAAGTAATGCTCTCGCCTCAGCCTCCCAAGTAACTGAGACTACTGACATGTGCCACCACACCCAGCTAATTTTTGTTGTTGTTATTTTTCTGTTTTTGTTTTGTTTTATTTTGTTTTGTTTTGTTTTGTTTTTGAGACAGAGTCTCACACTGTTGCCCAGGCTGGAATGCAATGGCACGATCTCGGCTCACTGCAACCTCTGCCTCCTGGATTCAAGCGTTTCTCCTGCCTCAGCCTCCCAAGAAGCTTGGATTACAGGTGCCCACTACCATGCCCAGCTAATTTTTTGTATTTTTAGTAGAGACAGTTTCACTATGTTGGCCAGGCTGGCCTTGAACTCTTGTCCTCATGATTTACCTGCTTCAGCCTCACAAAGTGCTGGGATTACAGGTGTGAGCCACTGCACCCTGCCTAATTTTTGTATTTTTTGTAGAGATGAGATTTTGCTATGTTGCCCAGGCTGGTCTTGAACTCCTGAGCTCAAATCTTCTGCTCACCTTGGCCTCCCAGAGCACTGGGATTACAGGCGTGAGCCACTGCGACTGGCCTACCAGACCTTACTGTTGTTCACTGGACTGCAATCAGGGAGCATCTGAACCTACATTCCATTACAGTAACACTACCAGGGATTCCAGAGATTCTACGTCTTCCAGAAGTCCAGCATTTGGATTAATATTAGAATCCTACTGCATGCCAGCTGTCTTTCATGTCCCTTCTCACATTCTCAAAGCCCACCTTTTGCTCTGCGGTATACGGGATGAGATGACCAGCTGAAACAACCAGCTTTGCTCAGGTGTAAGCCACCAGCAGGCTCCGCTGAACCCAGGACGGCTCCTCCCTGCCGGAGCTGGTCTGCTGCCACCCGGAGGGAAGCTCAAGGGAGCTGCCCAAACATTTGACTCTGAGTGCAGGCCCGGAAGTGCCAGGCAGTTAGCATCCCTAGGCCAGACCTTGACCAATGGGAGACTTGGGGGTTGTGCAGCAGATACATGCTCCCCTCTTCTGTACTTTGGGCTGACAATTGTGAGGGCTTTTTACACATTTTCTCATGGGACCCCCAAAGAACATGAACCACCACTGCCCATTAGGAGTGACCCCCTTTCTAACACATTTCCTGAGCTGGCTTTTCCTCCTGTTTCATTCTTCCCTGTCCCCAAATAAACAAGTCTTCAAGCCCAAATGAAGACATTTTCTCCCCAAAGAAAACTGTTTAAACTTTTTCTTTTGAGACGGAGTTTCACTCTTGTTACCCAGGCTGGAGTGCAATGGCGCGATCTCGGCTCACCGCAACCTCCGCCTCCTGGGTTCAGGCAATTCTCCTGCCTCAGCCTCCTGAGTAGCTGGGATTACAGGCACATGCCACCATGCCCAGCTAATTTTTTGTATTTTTAGTAGAGACGGGGTTTCACCATGTTGACCAGGATGGTCTCGATCTCTTGACCTTGTGATCCACCCGCCTCGGCCTCCCAAAGTGCCAGGATTACAGGCTTGAGCCACCGCGCCCCGCCTTCTTTTCTTTTACTTTCTTCATTAAAGCACTTACCCTTTGTTTCAGGGTTAATTATTGAGTGAAGAAAAGGCTAATTCTAGTTCTGTACACATTAGTCACATATATCTTCTGCACTAAATTAATGGGATGAAATTAATCATGATTGAATGGAAACAGAAGAAATACAGAATAACTCGTGGAGTGTGAGAAAGGAGAGATTTTGCTCTGGTTTTTAATACATTTTATTTTTTCCGCACTGGGAAAATACGCAGTTAACCACAAGAACCAATGCGCAATCAAAACCTACTGAGTTTTTTGTTTCTTAACCAGGATTTATGTAATTTGTATATTAAATGAAGCTAGAATTTTCTGGCAGTGCGGCCACCACCAACTCCCAAATTCTGGCTAGAAGCGTATCATTTACACACAATAGTGAGTTTCTGCTACTTAATTACATTAAATTAATGCAGTGGTTTTGAGCTTGAGGGAAGACCGTGTTCTGCCCGGAAAGGCCTTTAATGACTGTGTTTGACCAGGAAAACAGTGGAAACTGTGTTGCCATTCAAGAAAAAATGTGGTCAGGGGCGGTATCATTTATTACTAAAGCAGTTCTAAGTGTTTGATTTAGTGGGTTGATTTTCAGAGCAGTCTGTGTCTTAATAAAGATTTTTTAAACCTAGTATTGATACATTCTTTAAGGCTTGGGAAACAAATACTAATTAAACATACAATGATCCTTGTCATCTTTGGCATATATCCATTTTTTTCAGCTTAACATTTTTGAGGCTTTAGCTACTTCATCTGGTAAATATTTTATAAACTATCTGGGAAAGTTGTTGACTGTCTTTCAGTGGTACTTGTTTAAAACAGGATAGATTTTCAGCTGAATGTGTGACTTCAGTGTGGTCCTTAAGACAGAGGATAAATGTATCTCTCAGAGAAGAAAGGCTGGCAGGCAAAGACACTTTCACTGAGGTCCTGGAATGGAAAACAATTTTCATAACAATACTAATATGTTACTTGCCTTATTTATTCTGATTCAATCATCACTTTATGGTGGAGTCTTCCAGAGGCTACATGACATGTGATGTTGAAACCACTCGAATTGTCCCATAGAACTGATGTTTATGGTTTCTTTGAATGACAGAAATTGATCCTCTTCCCAGTCTTAAAAATTGAGAAAGTTGCATTTGTCTTATCTGCGTTCCTTTCTCAGGAAACCAGCCAATGGGCCTGGCAGATAATAGCAAGGAACTGAAACTCACCAGATCACTGCCTCTGAATGATGTTTGCCTAACCAACCACCTGCTTCCTGCTGACCAACTCCTCTTCCTTGAGTCTCCTAATTCCTGTTCTCCTGCCTGCAGTTACATTTCTTCCCTGCTGTATAAACCTCTGGTTTTAGTGGATTAGGGAGATGGATTTGAGACTGAGCTCCCATCTCTGCTACAGGACCCAATTAAAGTCTTCTTTCAATAATAATTGTGCAGCGACTGGGTTTCTGTGTGCTGAGCAGCGGGACTTAGACTGAAATCCTGGTGTTTTGGTAACAGTGTCACAACAGATTGGATGAAGAAGTAGATAACAGGAGTCACCTATTTTATAAGCTAGACATAACAGAGATTAGCAAAAATGGAAAGCAATGCCACTTTTCTCACTAATTTTTAAAGTTATTTTTTATTAAAAATGTTACTTATGTCAATATATAATGGGTTTACTATGAGTTGATATTTTTTAAATTTGTTTTAATTTCTAATGTAGTAGATATTGATAGACATACTTTTTTTTTGAGACAGGGTCCCACTTTGTCACCCAGGCTGGTGTGCAATGGTATGATCACTGCAGCCTCAACCTCTTGGGCTCAAGCAATCCTCCCTCCTCAGCCTCCCAAGTAGCTAGGACTACAGGCACACACCACCATGCCAAGCTAATGTTTTTGATGTTTTATAGAGATGGGGTCTCACTATGTTGCCCAGGCTGGTCTTGAACTCCTGAGCTCAAGTGATCCACTTGCCTTGGCCTCCCTAAGTGCTGGGGCTACAGGTATGAGCCACTGCACCTGGCCAACATACCTATTTAAAGAAAGGGTATTGTTTGTTTGTTGTCACTCAATACATTTTTAAGAGCAAAAGTGGATCCTGAGATCAAAAAGTTTAAGAATCAGTGGTCTAAGGTAAACAGCAATGGCTTTGAATCGAGACAATCCTGACACTAGCCACCTCTCCACATGCCCCACCCCAGTGTGCACACATGCACACACTGTAAACACACACATACACACACACACCAAGCGCTTCCTCATCCCCTACTTAAGCAAAACATAAACAATGTAGTTTCACAAGTAAATATCTATTGACCCAACAACGCAATTGAAAGAAAAAATTCCCCAACTGAGTAATTACAATGGACCGAATGCCTATATCCCTCCAACGTTCATATGTTGAAATCCTAACCCCTAAGGCAATGGTATTTGAAAATAGGATCTTTGCCTTCATTAATGGAATTAGTGTCTTTAAAATAAGTCTCAGAGAGGTCACTAATTTCTTTCCTATGTTTAAAGACACAGAATACCTTTTGTTACTGTAAAGGGGTAGGTTATATGTATTCACATGTATTTATATAGGCATAAAATACCTCTAAAAAATATACAAGAAAGCAGTAACACTGATGGCCTTTGAGGGCAGAAGTTGGGAGTTGAAGTAAAGAAAAGAAGGAAGATCTTGGAATTTTGAACCATGTGAAGCTCTCGGAACTTGGAGTATATACTCAAAGATAAAATACAAATTTTAAAAAGCCAACACAAATTTGCCTTCTTTCCAGAGTATCCGCAGATGCTCATCCAGATCCACAGAGCCCAGCTGACGTTTGACGGTTGTATCGTTTTTCATGGAACTCATCTCTCTCTACCACATTGGAAGTTCTTTGAATGAAATGACCACCTGCATACTTAGACGTCTTAGAGCTCCCTGTTTTACTTAACACAGTACTGGGCATAAAGCAAATGCCCAATAAAACGAGTTTATTAACTGATAAGCTTACTCCCAAGGGACTGAAATCCTGGCGCCGAGCCAACTCTCCTTAGCAAGTTGCCTTTTGGGATGAAAAATGTGGCACGTTCTGATCAGCACAGGAGATATACACACACACAAACCTCGTTTTAAAACATTCGATATTTTATATTGGAAAAAAATAACAGAAGCAGTCGTCGCAGAAAAGGTAAATTATTTGCTGGACTCTCTACAAGTATTTTATGGTTTGGAACCATTTTTACTTGTTGGCATAACAAGTAAAGAGCATGGTGATCTTGCCAACACTGGGGCCTCTAAGAACTTCATCCAGTTGGGAAATCAAAGGAACTGGAAGATTTTTCGTAGTCATGTAATTTATTTGTCTCCTTTTTTGGATACACTGGAGATGCTGAATGTTTGCAGAACTGTCATTTAGAATTCCAAGGTGTTGTATACATGAAGCAGTAGCAGTAACATGTCAGCGTCACATGATTGAGGATCCCTCCGGCCTTCCTTTCAGGTGAGGATGACTGTGGAAACATAAAGGCTCTTTAGGTTTCAGCTTGGGCCCTTTGTTTCCAATCCTGAGAACTAAACTTTTGTAATAAATCTCTACTATAGATCCTAAAATTGGTACATTTATTTCTTTATTTATTTATTATTTGTTTTTTAGAGACAGGCAGAGTCTTGGTTTGTTTTGCAGGGTGGACTTGAACTCCTGGACTCAAGGGATCCTCCAACCTCAGCCTCCTGAGTAGCTGTGACTGTAGGCACATGCCACAGCACCTGGTTCAAATTTTGTACTGAGTAAAAGGTAGTTGGCATCACAAAAACAGCATATGCTTGCATAGAAAGTAAATCAGTAGGTGAAATGATTTCCCATCATTTGAAGAGCCTGTCACCCAAAAGTTGCAAAGTGTCCCGGCCTGGGTCCCTCCAGTCAGGGTGGCAACACTACTGATTCACACAAAATGTCATCAACAAGATGCTCTATTTCCCAGGCCTATTTTCATTCTTATAAGGTCAACAGTGCTTAACTCAAATAACTCACTACTGGAGGGTAAAATTTCAGATGATGAACCATTTAGAATTTTCTACTTTCTCTGAAAGATTATCCACTAAGTTTCCTCTGGCTCTTTACTTTCTTTAGTACAACTGCAAATTCAATGATGAAAGTTTGCATGTTTAAACTCAGAAATTGTTGGAAGAGAAATTTTTATTTCATTCAAATTTGTTTTTTAAACATTTACAAAAGAGAAGCAGAGAATTGTGATTACCAGTTCGAAAGCCAAATGCCGTTCTGACTTTTTATTGTTTTCAAGTACAAAAGACCTTTTTGTTGGAAACATCAGAGTTGATTTTTATGTTTGGGTACATTAAAGAGATAATGACACATTTCTTGCATAAACTACCATCGTGTCTCACGCCAGCCTTTCTGATGTTTCATAATTTTCTAAACGTATTTCAGAGCTATTGGCAAACACAAAACTGCAATTTAGATGGATATCAGAACAATTTGACAATTTTCCTCATGTTTTAAACTGAAAGTCATAGAAACATCACAGAGAAAATCTGCCACTTGTGATGGAGCAAAATCTTTGCTTGGGTTTTTCTGTTTCTGTTTTTTGAGATGGAGTCTCCTGTCGCCAGGCTGGAGTGCAATGGTGCAATCTCAGCTCACTGCAACCTCTGCCTCCTGTTCAAATAATTCTCCTGCCTCAGCCTCCTGAGTAGCTGGACCTATAGGTGTGCACTACCACGCCCAGCTAATTTTTGTATTTTTGGTAGAGACAGGGTTTCACCATGTTGGCCAAGATGGTCTCGATATCTTGACCTTGTGATCCACCCGCCTCGGCCTCTTTGAGAGTTTGTCTCAACCAGATTACTTACCCCCTTTTCTTAGTCCCTGAGTCATAAACATGTTTATCCTTTAGCTTCGTTTATCAGCATAGATGAAAAAGCACTTTCGGAAATTTTATTTATCAATTCTTCTAAATTAAAACTGATTCCCTCTTTTAAAAGAGGCACTTTTCTCACTTTAAATGTTTTCTTCTCAGAGAGAAGTATGCGATTATTTCCCCACCTATGAGGCCAGGGGGTGTGCCTCCTCTCCTAAACAATCATTAGGCGACTTGGGCCTGCTCACCAGATTGTTGGATGTTGAAGGGACCTGTTCTGGGACCAAGACACTTTAGGAATCTCTGCTGTGCTCATGCCAAACTCTTGGCAGGAAACTGGGCTGAGCGCTCCAGGCCCCAGTGCTGGAGACTAAAAGACCCCGCCCTTCTATGATGCCTGGCTCCTCACCAGGCAAAGTTGAAGAGGGGCTCTCTTCCATTGCTGAGATTCTGCCCCCACTCTCTTGTGTTGGTTGAGAGAGCTGTAGCCAATGACCTCCTACGTGGCTACCATTTCTAAAACATTGTTTATTTCATCATTTATTTATTTACTTTTGAGACAGAGTTTCGCTCTGTCACCAGGCTGGAGTGCAGTAGCAGTATCTCGGCTCACTACAACCTCCGCCTCCTGGGTTCAAGTGATTCCCCTGCCTTAGCCTCCTGAGTGAGTAGTGGGAGTACAGGCATGTGCCACCACGCCCAGCTAATTTTTTGTATTTTAGTAGAGACAGGGTTTCACCATGTTGGCCAGGATGGTCTCGATCTCCTGTCCTCGTGATCCACACGCCTCCGCCTCCCAAAGTGCTGGGATTACAGGCATGAACCACTACACACAGCCTAAAATTTCTATGTGGGGGTGTTTTATCACATACATAGCATA